TCTGTAACAATCGGTTACTATTATATCGCTGGCCCCAACCAGGTAGATTACACCTACCGACATGGGTCATTTCAATTGTCTATGACTTCATTGTGTTATGTTTTGGTCTGACGGCCCCTAGCTTTCTTCCAACCTACCCTTACACCAAGCATCACTCGTCAAGATAGTCCGGTGGTTGGGCTACACAGATTTGGTTAATATACTACTCACTTGAATCAATGTCATTAGTATAATGACTGTCAAGCAATAATAATCATAAATAGATTGGATAGTTCTCTTATTACAAGGCTTTTATCCTAAACACAGAGCATAAAGATATTCATGTTAATCTGTAATCAATGGTAGTCGATCTAATACAAATCGATCGATCAAGAAAAAAATTCAACGAATAGAAAATAATATTTGATTAGAGGTCGGTCAACAGTACATACAATACAGGGTCAGCCGATAAAATATGCCAAAAAATTATGAAACAAGGTCATTGAAACCAACGAAATATGGATACTGATAGAAAAAAACTTTCGAAAATGCTTCATGAAGATTAGTGCCTCCACATTTATTCCAGTTCGCTTACATCTAACTTGGTTTAAGCCCTTTCGATTAATTTATTTAACCAAGCCATTTGTATTGCAACAAGTTATATGTACCATTCGTTCTTATTATTGTCTGGTTTGTGTGATGAGTTCACATGACGTGTTCCACTTGTCATTTGACCTTGTCAATCATTCGTCGCTTTTATTCATGTGTGCACGCCTATTTCGCTTGTCATGTGTCTGCCTTATTTTTGTCTGACTATATATTCTTAGTCATGCTCTATCGCTTTCAATTGGCTCAACAGTCTTCTCCAACGCGCTTCGCCTGTCCACACGCTTCCTTCGCATTGTAATCCAAGGAGTTGGCTCCACAGCCTTCTCCAATTCACGTCACTTCATTCGTTTTATTCACTGCTTCTCCGCTTCGCTTTGTGGTGTGTCCCAAATAAATGTATTCAACACTACGAGTTCACCTTCTGATTTATAAACTGTCAGACGCTATTTATTAACGATTGTCTGGACGAGCTAATTACCGAGCTTAAGAACACGCAGTCAATCGACACACTACAGTCTTAATTTGGATTTCATGTTTTAGTGCATGACCTTGAGACTACATTTCCCACCAGGAGAATCGTTGACTTTCATTGGTTGATGTGTTATTTGTAGTACGCTATTTTTTGTGGCTTTCCCAAGGACGTTTCTACTATGTATCAATAAATCCGATTTGTGTGCTTATCGACCTCTTATTTCCTGGGTGCTTGTAAAATACACTTTACTGCGCTTTGTCAAGATTTCTTATTCTACTTAGTGAGGCCTTGGGACGCTCGGATTAGAGTAGCCTATCGTGTCAATGGATCATTTGTCTTCACTCTCGTTTACCAAGTAAGGTGAACTCGTAATAGCATTCAAGCATATCAATTGTCAAGCATAACAAAGTCACAGATTACTTTTAGTTTTTATAGTATGGAACAACAATTCAGTTGTGTGTAACTTATAACTTCAACTGTCATTGGATTTCGGATACCATAAGTCTTTGATTAACTTGAAGCCATGGACGGAGGAGTATTCTAAAAGAGTATACAATCACTGAGATCTATCAATGAATAAATTAATGATGGACTTCAGTTTGAGTATTTATTGAACAGATTTTGTTAGGATATTGATCCAATATCCTAAGAGAATTGTTGGTTTATTCCTATTGGTTAATTCCTACTCGTCAATTTTATGGTCGTCCTAGATATCAATATCATGTACTCCAATGTTGTTTCTCATTGGTCGTCCTAACTGTCAATGTCACAGATTTCAATGTTGTATCCTATTCGAGCAAAATGTGTAAATACGCATTATCTGTAACGTTTTATGACCAGGATCCGGATCCCTAGTCCGGGATCCTGATTCTCTTCTTGATTCGGATCTCATACTTTCTGGACGATTGTAGAATACCCGTTCTACTTCATATCATGTCTGCTTATTTTTACTCAATATGGGGGTTGGAATAATCGGATTTCAGGAGCATGTCGTGTCACCGGATCATCACTTTCGTTTCCGACCAGGTAAACTCGTAATAATAGTTCAAGTATATCAAGTTGACGTGTTAACGTGCAGGCGTAACAGATTTCCATTTTGTATAAAAGAGAAATAGATTCAGTTTTTATTCACTAAAATGCATATTTTATTATGCTAAGGATTAGCTATATCTTCTCCAAATCCAACTAAGATCTTTTATACACATTTTTGAAACCATCAAACAATCATTTTTAGACCACCATTAGAAATCTGGAAGCACTGAACGTGTTTTAGTCAGGACAAAACAGTTAGTCCTCATGTAGTGAATGAGAACACAGGTGGGGCAACCGAATTGTATTTAACGAAAATTACAGAGTTACTCAGTAAAATCGGAAAACCATATCGTAAATCGTTCATTTGCAAAAGATCAGTTCATCCTATGGAACTGGACTGTTCCTGTTGCAAAACATCAATCCATTGTCACTATTCATGCGTTTCATACAAATTCCATTGTTTTCTAACTCTTCCTTTCTTGATCTTTCCCCCATATTATGCTACCAGACTTTACGTTGACACTCACGTTATATACTACTTATAAGTAGTTCGCACCACAGCACCACACTCATACAAAACAACTTTATATTCATGATACTCTCCTTCAAAAGTAACTGAATAAGAGACAATAAATCAGGAAATGTTCAATGTCTAATCTAATCAGAGATATGGTATAATTCTCTGGATTTGAGTAAATAACAATGACCTTGAGGACATGAGGCGAAAAACAAGGCAACCAATCACAGGCAAGTGAAGATCCACGTGAGCGTACACTAATTAACAGTTAGTTATCGAGTAAACTTAACTTTTCACTTGTTATGAAAGAGAACTAGAAGTGTTTTGTGACCATCAACCAACCTTACAGGTTTGTTTACACTGATTTCATTTGAGTTCAAAGTGTTAAAAATTAAATTTACTTAACAAACTGATAATTATATATTGTGGTCAAATCGAATAATAATAATACATTCACTAGTAGAGAGACTTATTTGACTGTATGTATGTATAAAACTAGTTTTCACTTTGATACTACTGAAATTCCATTCAGTTGTTAACTGTTCATGGTTTGTTTTTGGCTCATATGCTTAGTTTTGAGTTGTTTATTGTAGTTGGTACTTTGATATAGTGGTCGGGCTTGCTGCATATTGTGATAAATCCAACCGAGCTATATTTGGCTGGAACGTACACGTTCATTTTGGTCCCACCTACCATGTCATACCTGGTAACAGTACATGAGATCGAATAAGTCATAATCAAATCCTCCCAACGTCTAATCACTCTCTACGACTAACCTTTCTCACGTTTGTTTATCATCTCGTACCGCCAATGCAAACGATCCGAGTACATGAATAGTGGTTTGTGACTTTAATGCTCAAGTCGACAGACTAAGCGAAAAGGAAAGATACCTGGGGGAATCTTAAAGTGTCATGGATCATCAAACAGATAATAGCGAGTCTACCTATTCATGGGTAATACCAACATTCAGCATAAGGAAGGAAATACATCTTTTGACATAGCGATCCCCGAAATTATAGATGCTTGGAAAATAATCCCATCTGGCTTAGAACATGATGAAGAGTGGTGTCAGCTTGAATATAAGTTGGTGAGAAGCCTACGCAATGATCGTGAACAGCGTTACGTAGAGAAAGAGGTGGAAAAGAGAGATTATTTCGGAAGATGGGACTAATAACCATTCACAACCGAGGAGATTGGATCGATAGGCAGAACACTTTGGGGATCAGTTCAACTGGCTTTCAGCCACATTTTGGTTGCGCACAATCTCCAGTCAATCTGAATGGCGAATCGATGTAAGTCCTCTGACTCCTAATGAAGTTGAAAAAGCTGTAGGAAATCTGAAGCGATGGAAAGCAGCAGGCCCTGATAGATTAACCCCTGGGATTTTTAATGATGGTGGTCCAGTTTTAACAGTTAGATTGACTGAGATCTTAGGTAGAATCTGCGAACTGGACACAATCCCTGATTGTCCCACTTTATAAGAAAAGACAAAAGTCACACAAGAATCAGTCTAACTAATATATTGTCTAAGATACTGGCTTTAATAATACTCTTACTCTTAAAATCGAGCATACGAAGTGCAGACTCGAGAAAACTAGGGTACGCTGTATAGACCACATATTCACACTACATCAGGTCCCAAAACATAGACACACACGTTCAGACGTTCAACGATAGTAGTGTTTGACTCTGTCGATCGTGAGGTTATATGACAGTGTCCGTCACTGAAAGACAAAAGTACCAGCAAAGCACACTAACCTTATATAAAGCGCTTTCTATTCGAACACTACTGGCCGAGTCAGAGCTTATAGCGAAGTGCAGACTCGAGAAAACTAGGATGGTTTCAGACCTGGACGTGACTGTATAGACAACATATTCACACTCCGGAAGGTCCTGGAACACAGACACACACATTTTAGGCATCCAACAATAGTAGTATTTCTCAACCTTGAAACGGCATTTGAAATCCGTTGATCATGAGGTTCTATCTATGACAGTGTCCGTCACTGAAAGACAAAAGTACCAGCAAAGCACATTACCGATATATAAAACGCTTTCTATTCGAATGCTACTGGCCGAATCAGAGCTTATGGCGAAGTGCAGACTCGAGAAAACTAGGATGGTTTCAGATCTGGACATGGATGTACACACCAGATATTCACACTACAACAGGTCCTAGAACAAGAGGACACACGTCCAGAGGCCCCACCAATATAGTAAGTAGTATTTCTCAACCTTGAAGCGGCATTGGACTCCATTGATCATAAGGTTCTATGACGAGTACCAGAGAAAAACATTAATGTTACACAGGCTCTCTATTCGAACACTAACTAGCCGAATCAGACCTTATGACGAAGTATCGTCATCATCACCAGAAGAAGAAAATCAAAATTAAAATTGAGTATTTTTCTTTATATTGTCAAACAAAGTATTCTTTTCACTTGTCATATTGGGATGTATAATAATAATTCATTCGTCAACAGTAGTAGTACAATGCAGTACAGTGCAGTACAGTACCAGTACCACCAGTACACATGAACATTATGTACAAATAAAAAGAATGAAAGGCAACTAAAATAAAAGTTTTTTTTTAGTGTGTGTTTGTGTGGGCTAAACTGAGAAGAAGAAGAAACAAGAATAAAACAGAAAATAAGAGTTGCGTGTGTGTGTGTCTGTGTGCTTGCGTGTACATCGGCGATGATCTTCGTCATCATCATTGTTGTTGTTGTTGTTAAAGATTACAAAGAACGGCAAAGAACCAGAACCACACCAATCAATCAACCAATCAATCTCGCTTCTCACCACTTCATACTTTTATTACACATTTCGACCAGATTGATATGGTATAGTTGAACGAAATTTAAACAAATTATTAATGAACACACTGGTGTTTTGTTCGTCCACTTCATTTTCTGCTTGTCCCAATAATAGTTGTAGACGACTATTATCATTGGTATTAGTAGTATTATTATTAATATTAGTAGTATCATTAGTATTATTACTATTATTATGATCATTGTTGTCAGAATTTAATTTCGTTATAAATTCCATTGCTTGTTTCTCATCATAACCGCATGTCATTAGAGCATTGACAATGTCAATACTATTAATACTTGTATATTCATTGTTCAGCGTTTCTTGATTGGTGTCGATCAAATCAATATTCAGATAATATGAATTAGACACGGAATTGGTGTTTAATTCTGGATTAGCACTGGCATCAACCTGTGTGTGTGTGTGATGATGATCGGTTTTTGAAGTGGGGGAACAAACAAAACAAAAAAACAACAGAGAGAAAGTTATATACTATTGATTTTTGCACAAATAAGTAGTATTTAAGTAATAAATAAATTCATGCGTGCGTGCGTGCGTGTATGTTCACAATAAACGAACAATCTCGAATTTCTCCATGTTTGACCTGTAGCTTGTTCTGCTAACCGTAAACGTGTCGTTGTTTACACCTTTGTTTTGATTGCATCCCCATTTTAAGGTCAACAGCAACCAATCAATCAATCGAAGTTAGTAGAACAAGCTACAGGTCAAACGTGGAGAAGAAATTCGAATGCTTCACTTCTTCGACTGGATTATGAAGACGTCGACATCTGGAAGGAAGCACGGTATCAACTGGACAGTTAGGACGCAGCTGGACGATCTGGACTTCGCAGATGACTTGGCTCTTCTATCGCACACTCAACAACAAATTCAAGAGAAGACGACCAGTGTGTCAGCAGCAGCCTCTGCAGCAGTAGGTCTAAACATACATAAAGGAAAAAGCAAAATTCTCCGATGCAACACAACATGCACCAAACAAATCACTCTTGATGGAGATGCCTTGGAGGACGTTAACACCTTTGCATATCTGGGCAGCATCATCGACGAGAAAGGTGGATCCGATGCAGATGTGAGGGCGCGGATTGGCAAAGCAAGGGCTGCATTTCTACAGTTGAAAAATATCTGGAACTCCAAACAACTTTCTACCAAAACCTAAATCATCATTTTCAATACAAATGTAAAGACAGTTCTACTGTATGGAGCGGAAACTTGAAGAACTACGAAAGGCATCATCCAGAAGATAAAAGTGTTTATTAACAGTTGTCTACACAAAATACTTCGGATTGGCTGGCCAGACACCATCAGCAACAACGTACTGTGGGAGAGAACAAACCAGATTCCAGTGGAGGAGGAAATTAGGAAGAAGCGGTGGAGTTGGTGAATAGGACACACACTACGAAAAGCACCTAACTGCGTCACAAGACAAGCCCTCACATCGAACCCTCAAGGCAGAAGGTAAAGAGGAAGGCCAAGGAACACATTACACGCCGAGAAATAGAGAAAGATATGAGAGGAATGAACAAACACTGAACAGAATTGGAGAGGGAAGCCCAGGACAGAGTTGGTGTGAGAAAAGTGGTGGGCAGTATATGCTCCATTGGGGGGTAATAGGCGTAAGTAAGTAAGTACTTCTATCTGAAGTTTGTGCTGATGATGTTGTTCAGCAGAAGAACAATGAAATCTCCAAAACCAAAACACCCAGCTCAGAGAGAACCAAACACCACCACTACCACCACCACAATCATCCACATGAGCTACAAATCTTCCCAACCATCTCAAACGAACAATCTGATTAGCAAAAAAAGGGTCACTTTAGAAATCCGATTCTTATTTTGCCTAGTTGATTGACACTGTTTGAGAATGTGCGAATATTATGTGATGTGAATAACTAATTGTTCAAGCTTTATTTAATTTTCACAATGATTAGACATTTTTTTTCGGAATCTCTTTCAGTGTTTACTAGTACGAAAGACATATCATTCAAATTGATTTTGTGTACTATGAATGGGGTATAAGGGCTGATGTCACTTCTAGGTTTCGCATACTATGAAGAAGCGTGAAAGGGAAGTTAGATGAGCGACCTGAGAGTGTGACTGCAAAGCCCAAAGGGTGTTTGTATTGGACGTTTTTTGAAGTGTTGGCTACGTTATTTTTAAAATGCCGAACTGCCGGAAACAGAAATCCATGGGATATAAGGAAAAGGTGTAAGATTTTTAGGATCTATCTTTTCTAATGCTTCTTTACATGGTGAGAAGGAAGTATCACTGCAGATGCTGACTGTCTAAAAAGAAATCATTTTACTGTTGTCACATCGCTGTACAATCAGCAGTACGACTAAGCACTCAAACTTTAAGTGGCTGTTTTTTAGTTTGACCATTCTTCAATCAAACTGTTTGACATGTATGATAAGACATAAAAGAACATATATTTCAGCCGATAAAGTTCGATTAGGTTTTAGGGAAAAAGAGCATACTGTTAGTAGAGATAGATGATGAGATTTAGACCAATGGAATCTAAGTAGCACGTTTTATCCTATTTGAAACTATTCAGCTAGATAAACCTGCCAAAAAGTAAACATCGCAACTCTGAGATGCAGGCAAGTCCTCTTATACAGGACAAAACACAAATCCTGGATTCCCCTTACCAGCCACCATCCATCCCTTGATAAGTGTGTTTGAGAGAACACAGTGATGATGACGACGATGATGATGTGAATATTTAGTGACTAATGTCTCTATAGTTAAGTGATTATTCATTCATGTTAGTTTCAGCAGTATGTCTTATTGTGATAGTACCGATTGATTATTCAACGAGTGTCAATATCTTCACAAACTACTTGTCATGACTTTGAAATGTTTTGTAGGTAGTATTCATTTAAAATGCATGTATTATCGAAATTGTGATTGAGAGGAGAAAACGAAGAAGTAGTCACTTCATGACATGACGCCAATAATATAAAAGATGATGACAGCTCACTTTGCAGCGGCGCCGGTGCATCCACTCTTTGTGTTCTTTCAAATTCTAACCTTCTGAATTCCTCATAATCTCTACCTTTCTCCTTCTAAATTTATTTCACTGAATTATACTTCTTTTCTTTCTAAGTTTCTTTCACTGGATTCTAGCGCCTAAATAATATTTTCGTACCCTGATCATTCCGATTACTGTTATTACCTTTACTAACACTAATACTATGGGATTTGAATTGACAAATACATTTCTGTGCTAATGCGGTATGGCAACGTACGTACGTACAAAGTTCTACGTTGCTATTGATGGACATTACACCCTTCTGTAAGAGACATCAGTAATATACAACCGGTCATGCGTCACCAGTTTTCAGTTCTATGCAAAGTGAGCTGTCATCACCTTTCATATTATTTGAGTCACGTCATTTAGTGACTACTTCTTCGTTTTCTCCTCTCAATCACAATTTCGTTAATTCATGCATTTTTAAATGAATACTACCTACAAAACATTTCAAAGTCATGACAAGTAGTTTGTGAAGATATTGACACTCGTTGAATAATCAATCGGTACTATCACAATAAGACATACTGTCGAACTTACATGAATGAATAATCACTTAACTATAGAGACATTAGTCACTAAATACTCACATCATCATCGTCGTCATCATCACTGTGTTCTCTCAAACACACTTATCAAGGGATGGATGGTGGCTGGTAAGGGGAATCCAGGATTTGTGTTTTGTCGTTTATATAGGGACTCTACAGTTGGATTTACTTGCATCTCAAAGTTGAGATGTTTACTTTTTGACAGGTTTATCTAGCTAAATAGTCTCAAATAGGATAAAACATGCTTCTTAGATTTCATTGGTCTAAATCTCATCATCTATCTCTACTAACAGTATGCTCTTTTTCCCTAAAACTTAATCAAGCTTTTTATGTCTTATCATGAATGTCAAACAGTTTGATTGAAGAACGGTCAAACTAAAAAACAGCAACTTAAAGTTTGAGGACGTAGTTGTACTGCTGATTGTACAGAGATGTGACTGCAGTAAAATGATTTCTTTTTAGACAATCAACATCTGTAGTGATGCTTCCTTCTCACCCCATAAAGAAGCATTGAAAATGATAAACCCTGCCGAACTTACAGGAATAATTACTTAACTGATAGAGACATTAGTCACTAAATACTCACATAGTCATCATCGTCCACATCAACTGATTTACTTTGTTTCTCTCAAACACGATTATCAAGGGATAGATGGGTGGGTTAGTAAGGGGAATCCAGGATTTATGTTTTGTCCTGTAATAGAAGGACTCTTCATCTAGGGACTTGCCTGCATCTCAAAGTTGATGTTCACCTTTAGCAAATTTATCCAACTGAAGAGATTTCACAAAATAAGACGAAACATGCATCACTGAATAAATCAGTGAAAATAAAAAGCCACTTTTACATGACAAAACTTTTCAATTCATACAACTATGAGTATTACTTACCTGTACAAATATAGAACGTTGTTTTTTAACATCTAAATATTCAGTTAAAAAGAAATTCAATAAACTTTCTTGTGTAATAGTTGATAAAATTTTCACCTAAAATAAAAATCAGTACGAAAAAAAAAACACAATATTATTATTATTACCACTATTATTAATGTACACATTTTTGAAACCATGAATCGATCAATGTTAGACCACCATTAGAAACCTGGAAGCACTGGAAGGTCGTTTCGTTCCGGTTTTTAATGGTGGTCTAACATTGATCGGTTCATGGTTTCAAAAATGTGTAACTTAACAATATTCACAACCCCGTAATGCATATTATTATTGTTATTAAAACAGTTTTAAAATCAACTTTAGACCAGTCAGCATTATAAACCCAGAAGCATTAGGCGGCCGTTTCATCTTGCGATGGGATTCATCGGCTATGGGCATCCACGATTCCAGTGCGCGAAAACCAAACTTAGGGACCCCCTCAGTCTCGCGTACGACCACTTAACTGCCTAAACCACTGAGCCGACAATAAAACCGAGTTAATGTCTAGCCTCGATCAATCTACGGTTTTGTTAAACTTTTTCTACTGTCTTCTGTCAGCACTGTTCCATACCTGAACAGGGTTAAACTCCACTAGTCATGACTTCTCACTAGAACTTAGTCAGTCAATTGCAATGTAAAACTTTGTACATGAGTCTATAAGTTCAGGTTGCTATACCGCATTAGCACAGAGATGCAAATGTCAGTTCAAATCTCATAGTGGTAGCGATAGTAAAAGTAATAGCAGTAATGGAGAAGATTACGGTTCGAAGATATTGTTTGAGAAGTATAAATCCGTGAGATAATTTTAGGAAGAGAAAGATAGAGATAATGAGGAATTCCGGCTAGAATTTGAGAAAACACAAAGAGTGGATGCGCCAGCCCCATTGCAAACGATTTTGAGCCATGTAGTTCAACGTCTCTAACCATCGGTTACTTTTATCTCGCGGAACCTAACCTGGTAGCCTACATCTACCAACATGACTCAGTCCACTTGTCAGTCACTTCATGGATTCCTGCCATGTTTTGGTCTGGCCACCCCTAGCTTTCTTCCAACCTACTCCTACACTACAAAACATAGCTCATCGAGGAAGTCGGTGGTTAGCCAGACGTAACACATGTCCCGACCACCTCAACTGATGAAGTTTCACCACTTAATCTATTGATTTGCCATCCTTACCTAGAACTCGTTTCCTAACGACAGCATTGCTTACTGGAGTGTCCCAAGATATACGAGCAATGCTTCTAAGACATCTATGATCGAATCCTAGTAACCTACGAACATCTACTCTTAACGGCCAAGTTTCGCATCCATATAGGAGAACGGAGCGAACTGCTACGAAGTACACTCGTCTTTTGGTCAGCGAACGGATATCTCGCCTACGCCATAAACGGCGTAAATTGGCAAAAGCAAATCGAGCTTGCTGTATCCTCACTCGTAGCGGATATCACCAAATTACATTATGAGACAAGCCTTAACTTGAAATCTTCAAAGTCAATAGAGAATAGGAAGACCAATGAACAGATTATTACATCAGTAATTAGAGGCAAACATCAAAAGAATGAATAGCAGACGGTGAACAGATGGAGAGGAGAACTGTTAAAATATTCTTCTAATATTCTAAGAGAATTATTGGTCAAATTTATGGTCGTCCTAGTTATCAATGTCACGTTATCCAATGTTGTTTTTTATTGGTCATCCTGACTGTTAATGTCACTTCAAATGTTACTTCCTATTGGTTGTCTTAACTGTCGATGTCACAGACTTTGATGCTGTTCCCTATTCGACCTAAATGTATAAATACGCATTATCTGTAACGTTTTATGACCAAGACCCGGTCCCGGATTCCTAGTCAGCGATCCTGATTCTTTTCTGGACTCGGACCTCAAACTTTCCAAATGCTTGTAGAATACAGGTTCTACTTCACATCAAGTCTTCTTATTTTTACTCAATATGGGGGTTGGGATAATCGGATTAGAGTAGCATGTCGTGTCACCGGATCCTCGATCCTCGCTCTCAATTTCCGACTAGGTAAACTCGTAATAGCTCAAGCATATCAAAATGACGTGCAGGCGTAACAAGAACTGAAGACTGAAGAGTAGGTTAAAAAAAAATGCTGTTCGGCGGCAGCAGCCTATACTTCACACAACCAGTAGTAACAACAAGCATCATCACATTGGAAGCAATTGAAAAATACAAATTAAAATCAACTTCTTCTTACACATTCTTCACGATAATTAAAATTCGCTGTGCTCTCTATAATCTCTTCCCAGTTTCTTTCAAATTCTGTCATCATATTCGGATCTTCTAATTGATGTACAGATATCAATGATTCGACCTGTAGAAGAAGAAGAAGAGAAAAGAAATTATTAAAGAAGAAGAAACAATCGATGATAAATGTGTAGAATTTATTCATGGTTTAAACTAAACTAGACAATGATGATAATATACTGGAGTGTTGGAATTTCAAGGCTGTTTATCGTCAAATTGACTTTATGAATAAGGTAGAGAGATATGAGATCTTTAACTCAGCCTGGAGCTACTTTATGGGAGCTACCGGCTCTAAGCCCGGATAAGAGAGAAGGGTCGGGTATCAAGTTGGTGACCCAATCCTGTAGAAGAGTAACTCGCTAAAAAAAAACTCTAACTAGAAAGGTCTGAACATACATAAAGGATAAAGCAAGATTCTCCGATATAACACAACATGTGTCAACCGAATCACTCTTGATGGAAATGCCTTGGGAGACGTTAAAACCTTCACATATTTAGAAAGCATCATTGATGAACAAAGTGGATCTGATGCCAATGTGAAGGCGCGGATCGGGAAAGCAAGGGCTGCATTCCTAAAATTGAAGAACATCCGCGACTGAAAACAACTGTTTGTCAGCCAACACCAAAGTTACAGTTTCCAATACATATGTCAAGACAGTTCTACTGTATATAGCGGAAACTTAGAGAACCAGCATCCAGAAGATACAAGTATTTATCAAACGTTGTCTACGCAAGATACTTCATATTCGTTGGCCAGACACTATCAGCAGTAACCTACTGTGGGAAAGAACAGACCAGATTCCAGCGGAAGAGGCGCTAGTAGTGGGTAGGAAACACAGTGAGGAAAGCTCCCAACTGTGTCACAAAACAAGCCCTCACTTGAAACCCTCAAGATCAAAAGAAAAGAGGAACGCTAAGGAACACATTACATCAAGAAACGAGGAGACAGGCATGAGAAAAATGAACAAAAATTGGACAGAACTGGAAAGGGAAGTCAAGGACAGAGTAGACTGGAGAATACTGGTCGGTGATCTATACTCCATTGGGAGTAACAAGCGTAAGTAAGTAAGTAAGTAAGTAACGAAATCTTTGTTATTTCCGATTTTTACTGGTTTATTTATACCTGACAAAGATAGATTTGTTGTCATTAGAAAGACACACTCTCAATCGGTTCACTTACTTACTTACTTAATTAAGTAATTAATTACGCCTGTTACCCCTAATGGAAAATAGGCCACCGACGAGCGAATCATTTTTCTGGTTGGCGTTTTTTTCCAACGAGTTGGATTCCTACCGGATTGGGTCACTTACCCCATTTCCAACTCTCCTTCTTTATTCTCACCTGGGAGTGGCAGTAACCCTAGAAGGGCTCCAGGCAGAGTTAGGCTTGATGCATCCTTTGAACAAATCGATTAACCTATCCTTCTCAAGTTATAATTGACACATTTTTTGATCTCGTCAATTAATCGCTTATAGCCTTGGTTGTTTTTATTAAAGTATATGTGTTTAAGCGTACTTCGCTTATTAAACATGTCTAGCCTATCATGGCCTGACTATCAACCATACCTTTTGGCATCGAGTTGGCCCACACGCCTTCTCCATCTCACTTCGCTTTACTTACACACTTTATATTCTCATGTCTGTCTGCGCGAACGATTCTTGCATGATGAAATAAACTCATTCAACTGAATTCCGTATTACCTTTTATATTTCGCTTAATCATGAAATGCAGAAATTGAAAGGAAGATTTATTTCAAAGCATACTCGAACATTCGTATACATTGAAGCCAAATCGCAGGCACCTGAAGTGGTGAGTCCTACTTCGAATTTCATTCGACCAAACATTCATAAATGACAATGTTATTAAGATATTAACTGAATTGAATAAAAACAAAGCAGGACTCTAACTCCGTCAAGAACCCTTCAAGAGTCACTTTGACAGTCCCAAACCCTCCGGATAAAGAAGGAAGGTTGGGCAGGCATAGGCTTATCATCATCGACCCCATTCGGCAGGAATCCAAATCGTCAGAAAAAAAAACACTAACCCGAAAAATAATTCACTGTTCGGCGGCCAAGACTCCATTAGCGGTAACAAACTTAAGTGTAGGTAGGCGTAAGTAACTGAAACAATCACTCTTATAGTCAAGACAGTTCTACTGTATGGAGCGGAAACTTGGAGAACTACGAAAGCCATCATCCAGAAGATACAAGTGTGTATTAACAGTTGTCTATGCAAAATACTTCGTATTCGTTGGCCAGACACCATCAGCAACAACCTACTGTGGGAGAGAACAAACCACATTCCAGTGGAGGAGGAAATCAGGAAGAAGTCGTGGAAGTGGATAGGACACACATTGCGGAAAGCACCTAACTGCGTCACAAGACAAGCCCTTATATGGAACCCTCAAGGCAAAAGAAAAAGAGAAAGGCCAAGGAACACACTACGCCGAGAAATCGAGAAAGATATGAGAGGAATGAACAAACATTGGATAGAACTGGAGAAGGAAGCCCAGGACAGACAGAGTTGGTTGGAGAAAACTGGTGGGCGGCCTATGCTCCTCTATTGGGGTTAACAGGCGTAAGTAAGTAAGTAAGTAAGCACCGAATCGATAAATAGTGTACAAATTACAAAACACATACACATGGATGATAAAAAAATTTTTTAAAAACTTACTGAAGTTTTAAATATTTCCGCTGGCATAGCAGCAATAATTCTTGGAGCTATACGACGCCAAAAAGCAGTCAATCTTCCAGCGACATAATCAATGGAATATTTATTTGCTGGACTATATGCAACCAGACTGATACCTGTGTGCAGATTCCCACCAGGTGATGATCGCCAATAACGAAGATACACTGTATAGCCTAAGGTTTCTTTTGTACGTAAATAGTCAAATGCCGGTTCGGATAAGATAAACTACGACAAACACACACACACACAGACACACACAAACACACACAGAAAGAGAAAGTAAAAACAAAAATAAAACGTTTAGTGAAATGGTGTTGATTTTTGTATTGAAACGAAAAAAGGCGCGTGATTAAGACAAGAGAAATATTGATAATAACACCTTTATGATAGGATTCCACATTGAGAATTTTCACTTTCCATAATGTAACTGGCTTTTCTTTGTGTTAACAGGTACAGATTTCAATTGTACTTAAGCGGAATAAGTGATCATATTGGGGTAATCCCAGTTTAAAGGTAGGTAGACATGGCAATTGTTCCGATTCAAAGAGTTGATACCTAAAAATCATTCAAAAACTAAATTCACAATAGCAGCAGAACAGTGCAGCTTCAGACTTCATTCCGACTATAATGAGTAGTTGATGAACACCAAAAATTTGTCAGTCAGTCAATCAGTCAACAACCACATAGAACTTCGTATGTACGTACATCAGTTCAGGTGACCATTGTCACATTACCAAAGAGAGACAATTGTCACTCCAAATCGTGTTAACAAGTACAGATTTCAATTGTACTTAAGCGGAATAAGTAATCATATTCGGTAAAATCCTAGTTTAGAGGTAAGTAGAAAGGGCAACTGTTCCGATTCAAGGATTAAATTCACAATAGCAGCAGAACGGTACAACTTCAGACTTCATTTCGACTATTATGAGTAGTGGATGAACGCCGAAAATTTGTCAGTCAGTCAGTCAGTCAACAACATAGAACTACGTACGTACGTACATCAGTTCACGATTCCATACCACATTAGCACAGTGTTATGTTTGTCACAAAGTATGCTTGAGGCTATTATTACGAGTTTACCTTAGTCGATAAAACGCGAACGAGACTTTTACCAGCGTCCAGATAGGCTACCTTGAATCCCAAGCTGAAGTAAAAAGGCTTTGAAAGCGTAGAAAGTATATTCTACAAACACCCAGCAGTCACAGTACAATCAAGCATACAACTCTCGTTTATTTATACATCATAGAAACGTCCTTGGGACAGTTATGAAAATAGCACACTAAAATACACAGCAGCCAATCACAGCCATGGATTTTCCGGGTGGGAATTGAAATTCCAAGGTCAACTGATCAGCCCATGTTGGCAAACGTGAAAACCGAAATAAGGCATTTATCAAGCAAGTTTTGGGGATCTAACATCCCAAACACACAGTGATGTAATTGTCAATTCAAATCCCATAGTAGTAGTAGAGGTAGTAAAAGTGTTAGCATTAATCAGAGAGATTAGGATTAGAAGATATTATTCAAGAAGTAGAATCCAGTGAAATAAACTTTAAAAAATAAAGGTGATGAGGAATTCAGAAGGTTACAACTTGATACAACACAAAGAATGAATGAACCTGGACCATACCAAAAATTTGTGGTCGAAGAGTGATCACATTTAAATCAGTACTCCGTAAATTAGTGATTGTTCAGGGGAGCAAGATTTTCAAATTATCTAAATTAATTATTGTCGTCAATAAATAATAGTTCTGCTATATGCACTGTTGTGGACGTTAGATCCACAGAACTCACTTAGAAAAGGTTCTAATTTTGGATTTGTTATGTTTTAGCGCATAAGTTGCTTAGTTGACCTTCAGCGTGTATTTCCCACTCAGAAAATCCTTAACTGTCATTAATTGATGTATTATTTTAGTATGCTATTTTTGTGGCTCTCCCAGGGACGTTTCTGTCATGTATAAATAGGCTAGCTATGTGTTTTTTGATCTCATATTTTCTGGGTGCTTGTAGAATACACTTTCTACGTCTTGTCTAGGCTTCGTCATCTATTTAATAGGGACTCGGGACGCTCGGATTAGAATAGCCTATCATGTCACTGCATCATTTTTCATCTTCGCTCCGTTTACCGAGTCAGGAGAACTTGTAACAGTTCAAACATATCCATTACTAATTTTCATAAGTATCTTTTTTTTCAGGTTAAATGTGTTATTAAAATAGACAGAGATGTTGTTGATGATGGGTTGTATCTGTTTTATCTGACACATAACAGTAAATGCAGATAAAGATGGCCAGTGTTACAACAGCAGCCTTGCCTCTGCAGCAGTAGGTCTCAACATACACAAAGGAAAAAGCAAGATACTCCGATACAATACAACATGCATGAGCCAAATCACACTTGATGAAGAAGCTTTGTAGCATGTAGAAAGTTTTACATATCTGGTTAGCTGTTATGCTCGAAACTATTACGAGCTTACCTTATTCGGTGAACGAGAGCGAAGACAAATGATCCAGTGAAACGATAGGCTACTACAATCCAAGTGTCCCAAGGTCCCACTTAGCAGAGGAAGAAGTTTTGACAAGCATCCAGAAAATAAGAGGTCGACAAGCACACAAATCAAGTTTATTTATACACTGATAGAAACGACCTTGGTGAGAGCCACAAAAGTAGCGTACTAAAATAAATACATCAACCAATGACAGTCAAGAATTTTCCGGGTAGGATATGTAATCTCAAGGTCATTTGATCAGCTCATGCTCATAAACACAAAAATCCAAAATGAGGACCTTATCAAGTGAGTTCTGTGGATCTAACGTCCCCAACACAGTTAGCATCATTGATGCGCAGAGTGGATCTGATCCACACATGAAGATGCGGATAAACAAAGTGAGGGCAGCATTTCTACAACTAAAGAACATATACATCTCAAAAAAGCTATCAACCAACACCAAGGTCAGAACTTTCAACACAAACGTCAAGTCATCATCCAGAAGATACAAGTATTCATTAACAGTTGTCTATTGCGAATGCGTTGGCCCGACATCATCAACAACAATCTACAGTGTGAGACAAAAAACCAGTTTCAAGCTAAGGAAGATATCAGGAATCATTAAAAAGATCGAAGGATCTGTAAATTGTTGATGATTAGATTATTCAAATTAAAAAAATAATCATAAAGATTGTTAAGTTACTACACATTTTTTGAAACCATGAATCGATCAATGTTAGACCATCACCATTAGAAACGTAGAAGCACTGTTTAGACGGACGTTTCGTCCTGGTATGGGACTACTTATCAGTGGCAGTGCGTATCCACGACTCCTACACCCCACAGGATTCGGACCCAGGACCTTCGGTCTTGTCCGCGTACACCAAACCTCTAGACCACTGAGCCGGTATCTAACTGTGTCAATGTCTAACTTCGATCAATTCACCAAGTTGCACAACCTCATGCACAGTCTTCAGTAGTAGTTACTGTCTACACACGAACAGGTTGAACTTCACTGGTCACGTCTTCCCACCACTAGAACTCGGTGAAGATTCCTCACGAAGCTAGTCACTCACTAGTGAGCACAGGTAATTCATTGCATTACAGGGTTGTGAAGATTGTTAAGTCACACATTTTTGAAGCCATGAATCGATCAATGTTAGACATTAACATCATTAGATACCGGCTCAGTGGTCGGATGGTCAGGCGTACGCGCACCTCATACACAGTCTTCGGTAGTAGTTCTTATCTACACCCGAAAACAGGTTGAATGAATAAATGAATGAATTTCTTGTCAAATAGTTTTACTACAGAACAAAAAAAACAAACCAATCACTCAACACTTTTTACTCCGACTCATCGAGGAAAACACTCACACACGCACACACAGTCAGTCAGTTGCAACGTAGAACTTCGTACGTATGTACATAAGTTCATGGTGCCATACCACATTACCAAGGAGACGCAGATGTCAAATCAAATCCCATAGTGATAAAGATAGTAGAGGTATTAATGGTAATGAAGAAGATTAGGGTTCGAAGATATTATTCAAAAAGTATAATTCAGTGAGATAAGGTTAGAAAGACAAAGGTAGGAGTGCTGACGAATCCAGAAGATTAAAATTTGAGAGAACACAAAGAATGGATGCACTTGCGCCATTGCAAACGATTCTGAACCATGTCGTACAAGATCTCTAACTATTGGTAACTTTCGTCTCGCGGACCCCAACCAGGTAGTTTACATCTACCAACTTGACTCAGTCCACTTGTCAGTGACTTCATGGATTTGTGCCATGTTTTTTTCTGGCCGCCCCTAGCTTTCTTCCAACCTACTCCTACACCACAAAACAGCTCATCGAGGCAGTTGGTTGTTGGGCATACGCAGCACATGTCCCAACCACCTCAAGTCATGAAATTTCACTACTTCATCTATTGATCTGCCATTCCTACATAGAACTCGTTTCCTAACTACTAAAGCATTGCTTACTCGGTTGTCCCACAATATACGAGCAATGCTTCTTAAACAAACATCTATGATCGAATACTAGTAACACCTACGAAGAATATCTTCTACTCTTAACGGCCATGTTTCACAGCCCCATATAGGAGAACGGAGCGAACTGCTGCGCAGTAGTACACCCGTCCTTTGGTTAGTGAACGGATACACACACACACACACAATGTAAAAGTGAAATGAATAACACAAGGGCAAGCGATCGAGCAAGCGACAGTGAATGAAAATACAAAAAAAAATTCTCACACTTACTGCCAATAATTTATTATAACATTGTTGTTGAATAATATTTGATTCACCACCACCATCTAGTAAATGTATTCGTGCTAAACACATATTCACATCATTTGGATTACAATTCATAACACGTAAATAATATGTGCCCGGATTTAAGATAGCTGTATCAACCTTTAAAAAAATCATGGGAGAAAAAAAAGTAGAATAAAACATAGCTGTTAAGTAGGTGCAGTCTATGTGGTGTTATAGTTTACATAAGTAAGTATCATGAGCAATGATGAATGATTGAAGATCTTGCCAATAAATAAGACAATGTAAACCTTCGTACCTACGTACGTACATCAGTTCACAATGCCATACCACATTTGCACAGAGATGAAATTGTCAATTCAGATCCAATAGTAGTGTGGTGTGAGCTACTTATAAGTAGTAGGAAATGATGCGAGTGTCAACGTAATGTCTGGTGCCAGCAGAAGATGGGGGAAGATCAAGAAAGGAAGAGTTAAAACACAGTGGAATTTGTATGAAACGCATGAATAGTAGTGACAATGGATTGTTGATGTATTGCAACAGGAACAGTCCAGTTCGATATGATGGGTTGATATTTTGCAAATGAACGATTGACGATATAGTTTTTCGATTTCACTAAGTAACTCTGTAATTTGAGATAAATACAATCCGGTTGCCCCACATGTGTTCTCCTTCACTACAGTAGTCAAGGTAGTAAAGATATTAGAAGTAATCGGAGAGGTTAGGATTAGAAGATATAGTTCAAGAGTTTAATAGACTTAAAAAGATAAAGTGATGAGGAATTAAAAAGTTTAGGATTTGAGTAGAAGCCTAAGAGGTTTCCTTGCGGTGTCTGAGAGTTATTAAGAGGTGTAGAAAGGATTTGATTATGACATATTTGGTCTTGTGTTCGGTTACGGGTATGAGGGCGGTTGTCACTTCCCGGCTGCCCACAACGTGGAAGGGTGTTTCTTGAGGGACCTGAAAAGGAAGGTAGATTAGCGTTGGTCTTACAGACCTGGGAGCGTGACCCCAGAGCCCAAGGGACAACTGTTTGAGGCCGGTCACGAACGGCCTTTTTATGAGAAGTTTTTGAGTGTTAGCTCCGCTCTCGAAAGCCCTTAGTGGGCACCCTTACCCAAGGAGACGGAAATCCGTGAGGTGGGGTGAGGTGAGACATTTTGAGGGTCGACCTTTTCTAACTCCTTCCTTCCTTGTGAGAAAGCAGCATCGCTGCAGATACGGGTTGCCTGAGGGAAACACCTTACTGCTGTCACACCCCTTCATCACAGTCAGCAGTACGTCTTCGCTCTCAGACTTTGAGTAGCTGCTTTTAGTCTCGACCTGCCTGGCATGGTAGAACCTACAGGAACACATATTCTAGCCAATATAGCTTGGTTGGGTCATCACGATAGGCAAGCCCGACCACCATGACAAGTTAGTAGGTACGGTTTCCTCTTAAACTGTAAGTTTATAAATTAATATAAATATTTTTTTTCTTACTGAAATCATCGATCAATCTGTTACTCATGCACGTGAACTATTACGAGTTTAACCTAGTCGAAAAATGAGAGTGAGGATCCGGGCGACATGACAGGCTACTCCAATCCTAGCGTCCAACCCCCCCCCCCATTGAGTAAAAGATGAAGATTTGATATGAAGTAGAACATGTATTCTACAAGCATCCAGAAAGTATGAGGTTCGAGTCCAGAGGAAGAATCAGGATCCCGGACTAGGGACGGGACATCTGCCAATGTTAGCTGTTTGAACCGAAAATTTTTAGATCGGCTGTCCGACTGAGCTGAAGTGAGGTGGATTGGATGTAGCAAGGGGGCAAATATACTATGATTAGTTGACAGTTGCACCACACCACTGTCAGATTGACTTGATCCACCACTCTGAACAATAGTCCTGTCACGATGCAGTTTGGTATTCACCAACATTTTCATTAATTCAGCTGCTGCTCCGGTAATAATTCAAGTCTTGAAGGATCAATGTGATCCCATCCATATCGCCAATTGTTACGATTACACGTAAACATGTCAATTTGATATGCTTGAACTATTACGAGTTTAAGTTAGTCGGAAAACGAGAGCGAGGATTCGGCGACACGATTTTCCGATTGTCCTGAACCCCCATTGATGAATATCCTAACAAATCATTGTTAGAGACCATCATTAGAAACCTGAAAGAACTGTTAAGACGGCCATTTCGTCCTGACATGGGACTACTCATCAACAGTGCACGTCCACGACTCTCGTTACTCGCAGGATTCAAATACAAGACCTTCGATCTTACGCAAACGTTTAACCTCTGAACCCCTGAACTGGCATACAACGGATATTACGCAACGTCACACATTGTCTTTCATAGTTACTGTCTACATCCCACAGAGTTGAACTTCATTAGTCACCACTTCTCACCAGAACTCCGAGAATTCCCTAATGAAACTAGTCACTAGTGAGTACATTGTACGATTTTTCATTATAGAGTTGTGGAGATTGCTATTTATTACTAATAGCATGAGGAATTCAGAAGATCAGAATTTGAGGGAGGAAACAACGGTTGCGTCTGCGCCATTGTAAACGATTCTGCGCCATGTCATTCAAAGTCTGTAACCATCAGTTGCAATTGTCCCGCGGACCACAACCAGGTAGTCGACACTTATTTCCATGACTTCATGGACTGGTGCTATATTTTTATTTGGCCGCCCTTAGCTTTCGTCCAACCTATTCCTACATCACGAAGCTTGGCGCGTCAAGGTAGTCGGTGGTTAGGCATACGTAAGACATGCCTCGACCATCTTCAGAGACGATAAAACTGCATAAAATTCTACAATTAACATTTGAAATAGTTACAAAAAATATAAATATAATTAAGATTAGAGTTGAAGTGAACTTACCAATTTTCTTGTTGGGCACGGAATAGGTTGAATTTTCTCCACTGTATAATTAAAGAAATTTATAGCATCCTATCGATAGTTGAACAAAATCGAGATGGGCGAACCGGTGAACGAGACGATTAGAATGAGAAAAAAATAACAAGAGAAAAAACGTAATAACACAGACAATATTTAAAAAAAATGAAAGCGTACACATACACACACACACATAAATGTTCAGATATATAATAAATTGGGTGTTTGGATCTCCTCATTTAATATTCACAATTGCGAGCTTAATTACTTACTAACGCCTGTCACCCCTAATGGAGTATAGACCACTGACCAGTATTCTCGAACTCACACTGTCTAGGGACTCCCTTTCCAGTACTGTTCAATTTTTGTACATTTACCTCATATCTGTCTTCATTTTTCGGCATAATCTGTTTCTTCGCCTTCCTCTTTTCCTTTTACCTTGAAGGTTCCAAGTGTGGGATTGTCTTGCCTAGGCCACCGACCAGTATTCTCCGACCTACTTTATCCTGGGCTTCCCTTTCCATTTCTGCCCAACTGGTGTCGATTTCTCTCATGTGTCTCCATTTCTCGGCGTAATGTGTTCCTTGGCCTTCCTCGTTCCCTTTCGCCTTAATGATTCCAAGCGAAGGCTTGCCTTGTGACACAGTTGGATGTTTTTCACAATGTATGTTCTATCCACTTCCAGCGCTTCCTCCTGATTTCTTCCTCCACTCGAATCTGGTTTGTTCTCTCTCATAGTAGGTTGTTGCTGATCCGAAGTATTTTTTGCATACAACTGTTAGTAAATACTTGTATCTTCTGTATGATGCTTTAGCAGTTTCCCGAATTTCCCTCCCATACAGTAGAATTGTTTTGACATTTGTATTGTAAATTGTGACTTTGGTGTTGGCTGACAAACAGTTGTTTTGAGTTCCAGTTGTTCTTCAATTTTAGAAATGCTATTCTTGCCATTCCGATCCGCGCCTTCACATCTGCTTCAGATGCGCTTTGCTCATCAATTATGATGCCTAAATATGTAAAGGATTTCACATCTTCCAACGCTTCAACGTGAAGTACGATTTGGTTGGTGTATGTTGTGTTGTATCAGAGAATCTCACTTTGCCGTTTGTGCACACTGAGACCTGCTGCTGCTGCTGCTGAGGATGCCGCTACACTCGTTGTCTTCTCTTGCTATTGTTGTTGAGTGTGCGAGCAAAGAGCCAGATCATCTGCGAAGTCCAGATTGTCCAGCTGCATCCTGGCTGTTCACTGTATCCCGTGCTTCCTGACAAATGTTGACATCTTTATAATCCAGTCGATCACCAGGAGAGAGAGAAAGCAACCATGCCTGACATCGGTTTTCATTTCTAACGAGTCTATGAACTGTCCTCTGTACACAACTGAAAAATGATTATACATACGTTGTGTATAGATTGACTAGTTATTATTAATAATTAGTTACAAGTATTCTTTTTTCGAAAAATAGAAATGGATAGTGGCTAGAGAGCATCGGAATCTAAGATGTACGCATCATTCTACATGGTACTTAACAGTTAGCACGATTACTGAAACTATTTCAAATAGGTGTAGCAAACAAAACAACAGAATCACTTCAAACTATCTTATGTAGACCAAAGGACAAAATGACGAAAGAAGAAAAACCAAATATCATCTGTAAAATAAAATGTTCGGATCACAAATAACACTACATCGGTCAAAGTGGATGTCCTCTTCAGCTTCGTCTGCGTCAATATCAATCGGTTACTATTGTATAGCCGGCTCCAATCAGGTAGTCTACACTTACCAACATAGCTCAGTCCCGTTGTTAATGACTTCATGGATTTATGCCATGTTTTGATTTAGCCATACCCTAGCTTTCTTCCAGCCTACTCACCTACACCACAAAACATGGCTAATCGTGGCAGTCGATGGATGGGATAGACTTCCGCTTCTACTCTTACCTTCTCTCTCAAGTAAATCAATTTTAAGGAGCTGGTATAGACAGACAGACAGACAAATACAACGAAGAACTTCGTACATGAGTACATCAGTTTAGGTTGCCATTATCACATCAGCACACAGACGCAACTGTCAGTTCAAATCCAAGAGTGATAGCGATAGTAGAATTATTAGCAGTAAGGAGTTAAGATATGATTCGAGAAGTAGAATTCAGTGAGATATAGAAGGAGAAAGACAGAGATTATGAAGAATTCAGAAGGTTAGAGTTAGAGAGAACACAAAGAGTCGATTCACCTGCGCCATCGCAAACGATTTTGAGCCATGTCATTCAAGGTCTCTAACAACCAGTGACTATCGTCTTGCGGACGCCAACCAAATAGCCTACATCTAACATCACTCAGTCCGCTTGTCAGTGACTTCATGGATTTCTGAGATGTTTTGTTCTGGCCACCCCTAACTTTCTTCCAACCTATTCCTACATCACAAAACATAGCTCGTCGAGGCAGTCGGTGGTTAGGCATACGTAACACATGTCCCAACCACTTCAACTAATGAAGTTTCAATGCTTCATCTATTGATTTACCATCCTTACCTAGAACTCGTTTCCTAACGATAGCATTGCTATCGTTAGTTATGATAATCACTGATAAGGAGCTGGTACATGCCACGCTCAAATCTTCAACACCACCACATCATAACACACAGACATGCATATATACATAAATACATACAGCAAGCCAGCCAGCCGGCCAGCACAAAAAAATAAACTTTTACCTGTCGTTTAATATTTCCATAAGCATAAACCGTAATATGTAAACTTGATAAAAATCGATGTTTATAAGCGGCAAGATTAGCTACAGATAAATTTTTCAATGCATTCAATAAATCCGGTATGAGATAAGCTTCTTTACGAAGTAGATAAAATTGAAGATGCCTATACAAAAAAGAGAAAGAACAATAATAATAAAAGGGCGAATTAATAAAGTCAAACAAAAGGAGTCATGTAAGAGTACTTACTTACTTGCTTATTTACGCCTGTTACCCCTCAATAGAGGAGGAGCATAGGCTGCCGCCGACCACCAGTTTTCTCCAACCTAATCTGTCTTGGGCCTTCCTATATAGTTCTATCCAAATACTGATCTTTCTTTTCATGTCTGTCTCCAATTCTCGGTGTAATGTGTTCTGTGGTTTTGAGGATTCCAAGTGAAGGCTTGTCTTGTCTTGTGACGCAGTTAAGCGCTTTCCGCAAGGTGTGTCCTATCTACCTCCAACGCTTTTTACTTTCTCTACTGGAATCTGGTTTGCTCTCTCACACAAGAGGTTGTTGTGGATAGTGTCTGACCAACGAATCCTCAGTATGTTGCATACTTACTTACTTACTTACGCCTGTTACCCCCCAATGGAGGAGGAGCATAGGCTGCCGCCGACCACTAGTTTTCTCTAACCAATTCTGTCTGTCCTTCGGGTTCCCTTTTCAGTTCTGTCCAACCGCTGTTCATTCTTCTCATATCTTTCTTTCTCTATTTCTCAATGTATAATGTGCTCTTTGGCCTTCCACTTTTCCTTTTGCATTAAGGGTTCCATGTGAGGGTTTGTCTTGTGACACAGTTATAGGTGCTTTTCGTAGTGTATGTCCTATCCACCAACTCCACCGCTTCCTCCTTGATTTCCTACTCCACTGGAATCTGGTTTGTTCTCTCCCATAATAAGTTGTGTATCATGTAGGTGTAGATGTTAGATCCCCAGAACTCACGCAATAAAGCTACTAATTTTGGGTTTTATTAATGAGCTGATCAGTTGACCTCGAGATCACATTTCCCACCAGGAGGCTCCTTGACTGTGATTGATTACTGTGTCATTTTAGTGTGCTACCTTTTGTGACTCTCCCAAGGACGTCTCTATGGCGAGTATAAATAAACGCAATTTGTGTTCTTGGATTCGTTGTGTGCTGGCTGGGTGTTTGTAGAATATTCTTCCAACGCTAGATCAAGACTTCTTGCTGATACAATTGCGACATCAGATCACGGTAGCCTACCCGGACACTGGTTCATTGTTTCGTTCTTGTTATTCAACTAAAGTGAACTCGTAATAGTTTTAAGCATACCTAGAGACGAGTGTAACATATTCCTATTGCTTAATTCTCTCAACAAGTCACTAAATCAAAACACGGTTGAACAGGGAAGCAAGGTTAAATGGAAGTAAGAAGCCGAAGCGAAGGCGAAATAGGAATAATGTTAGTATCTTTATAATTTTTTTTACATGAGAAGTTTCTAAAGTGTTCGCCATGTAACGACTAGCGCTAATTGGATAAGAACTAGCCAATCAGCGCGCAGCTAACACAGTCATGCTTTAATCCATCTATGTCCCACTAACAGTAGGAAAAAACTTGGACCGATTCACTCAACAACAACAACAACGTTAAAATTGAGTTCTGCGATCAAGCTTGCAGGTTGTTAGGACCAATACACTAATCCAACTTTCTTTTCCGAGTTCCTCAAGAAACACTATTTTTTCCACGGTGTATGAGCAACCGTGAAGTGACATACTCGTTAGAACACACGATACCAAAGCACACAGAAAGATGCAATTGTCCCATAGTGGTAAAGGTAGTAAAAATATGAACAGTAAGTAATCGGTAAGATTAGGGTCTAACTAGTAATCAGTAGATTCGAAGATTAGTATTTTACGTGTTTTTTGAGGCTTTGGCTAGACAGCTCTCGATATGGATTCTACTTTACGCTTAATCCTATGCTTTTCTAAATAGTGTTTTATACTTATAAAGCCGATGCGGCAATGTTCACAACTTCATTCACTAACCCATCATTTTAAAAGCATTTTCCATCTAACATGGTGTCTTGAAACAACATGTGATCAGCCAAGAATCAACTGAACTATCATCTCTAGCCTATTATTCCTGTATGATTTTTCTCACTAAGTGCTTGCTTAGGTTGAAAGTGAATCAAGTCAAGATATGATCGCTACTGTAAGTGATTCAACACATATTACATAGTTGGGCCTTTTCAAATGTCATTTCAGAGTTAGCAGTAGTTCACTCCGTCCTACTTAATGGCTGTGAAATATGGCCATTAAGAGTAGAAGATATTCGTAGGTTGTCGGTTTTCGATCATAGGTGTCTCTGAAGCATTGCTCGTGTACCTTGGGAAAGCCGAGTAAGCAATGCTGTTATTAGGAAACGGGTGCTAGGTAAGAATAGCAGATCAATAGATGAAGTATTGAAGCTTCATCAGTTGAGGTGGTTGGAAGATGTGTTACGTATGCCTAACTACCGATAGCCTCGTCAAGCTAAATTTTGTGGTGTAGGAATAGGTTGGACGAAAGGTAGGGGCGGTCAAACCAAAACATATCAGAAATCCATGAAGTCAATGATAATTACACTGAGTGATGTAGGCAAGTGTTGACTACCTGGTTGGGGCCCGCTAGATTGTAGTAAGAGACCTTGAATGACATGGCTGAAAACTGTTTGCAATGGTGCAGGTGCATTCATTCTTTGTGTTCTCTCAAATCCTAAACTTTTAATTCCTCATCATCTTTGTCATTATCTTTTTAAGTCTATTTCACTAGACACTACTTCTTGAGTAATATTTTCTAATCTTAATCTCTGATTACTTCTTATACCTTTACTATCTCTACTACTATGGGATTTGAATTGACAAATACATCTCTGTGTTAATGTAGTATGGCAAAATGAGCTGATATACTTCGTACGTACGTACGTACGAAGTTCTACGTTGCTATTGATTCATTGATTGATTTCAGAGTTAACTAATTTACTCCCAGTGTTGTATTCACAATACTATCAATATACACAATCGACATTGAAATTTTTCACTATAGAGTTATCGAGATTGCTGAAATCCTGAATGAATAATTGTTAGAGACCAACATTAGAAAGAAACCTAGAAGTACTGAAACACAATTTTTTTCCCAAAACTGGACTCATCAGGAGTGCACATCCACAACTAATGCTACTCTCTCAGGAAACAAAACCCAGGATCTTCGGTTTTGCGTGAGAACGCTTAACCTTTGGACGACCGAGTAACCAATGCTATCGTTAAGAAACGAGTTCTAGGTAAGAATGGCAAATCAATAGATGAAGCATTGTAACTTCATCAGTTGAGGTGGTTGGAACATGTGTTACCTATGGATCACTGATCCAGCTGCATCCAACGGTATCAATGTTTAACCCTGATCAATCTAAGGATTTCACCCAACCTCACCCATTGTCTTCCGTAGTGACTACCTACACCTTACAGGATTGAGCTCCACTAGTCACGTCTTCTCACTCATTAAAACACCGAAAAAACTTACCACACAAAGTTAGTCACCACCATTAGTGAGTGAACACACAGTGTACACAATTCAACAATTCATCATAGACTTATGAAGATGAATACATGATTTGAATAATAAACGAATACAAACTATTTATAATAATAGTATCTTTATAGTTTTTTGCATGAGACGTTTCTAGAGTGTTCTCCATATATCAACTAGCGCTGATTGGCTAATACTTAACCGATGGTAATCGCACGAAACGAACCCAAGATCTTTGATTCTACGCGAGAATGCTTAACCTATGGGACCACTGACCAAGCTGCATCCAACGGTGTCAATGTTTAACTCTGATCAATCAACGTCGTCCACTGTCTTCCGTAGTGACTACCTACACCTAACAGGATTGAACTGCACTAGTCACATCTTCTCACTCATTAAAACACCGAAAAAACTACCCCACAAAGTTAGCCATACATGATTTCAATAATAAACAAATACAAACTATTTATAATAACACATTATTATTATTATTATTATTATTTGTACTTACGTATTTAATACATTTGGTTTAAGTGCTTCATTATAATAAATTTGACGTACAGCATCACGATATGATTCAAAATATTCTTTAGATAAATCTTGTGTTTGATCTAATATATGATCAAGTATTGTTGAATAAAAATACTAAAACAAAAACAAACAAAAACAAAGACAAATGCACAATTGAACATTGAATATAAGTTGTAATTTAAACAAAATAACCTGTGAAAAACTATGACTACATTCAATAATTACATAAAACAACAATTAGAATAAATAAAGTACTACGTCTGTTAGGATAAAGAATGATAATCGATAGAATGTGTACAAAAGTTGAATAAAAATAATGAGACAGTTGATAAACAAACATTAAGCTGATATATGTTTATAAAATTCATGAGGATCATAATAGACGATGATGTATAATAAGATTGATATGAATTGAAGATCCCGGGTTCGAATCCTGCGAGGAGCAGGAGTCGTGGATGCGCACTGCTGAGGAGTCCCATACCAGGACGAAACGGCCGTCTTTCAGTGCTTCCAGGTTTCTAATGGTGGTGTAACAATGATTGATTGATGATTTCAAATGTGAATTGGATGACCTTGATTGAGTATTGTTAAACAATTGAGAGTGATTGATAATAGTGCACAGTTGTATTGTACAACATCGCTGTTGGACTACTCTATAAGTTTGATGTTGTTCGTTTAAACACTGACCAACACCGACTGCCTAATATGGTAAAGTCCGTCAGTCAGTTACAACGTAGAACTTCATATGTATGTACATCAGTTCACGATGCCATACCATATTAGCGCTTGTCAGTTCAAATCGTATAGTAGCAGATGTAGTAGAAGTGTAGAGAAGGAGAACACAGGTGAGGGCAACCGAATTGTACTTATCGCAAATTACAGAGTTAATTGGTAAAATAGGAAAACCATATCGTAAATTGTTCATTTGCAAAATATCAATCCATCATATCGAACTGAACTGTTCCTGTTGCAAAACATCAATCCATTGTCACTCACTATTCATGCGTTTCATACAAATTCCATTGTGTTCCAACTCTTCCTTTCTTGATCTTCCTCCATATTCTGCTGCCAGACATTGCGTTTTTTTTACTCGCGTCACATACTACTTATAAGTAGCGCGCACCACAGAAGTATTTAGAGGTGTAGAAAGGAGTTGAATGCGACCGATTCGGTCTCGTATGCTGAGTCATGTTGGTAGATGTAGGCTACCTGGTTGGAGTCTGCGAGATCATAATAATCGATGGTTAGAGACCCTGAATGACATGGCTCAAAACCGTTTACAATGGCACAGGTGCATTTACTCTTTGTGTTCTATGAAATTCTAACCTGAATTCTTCATCACCTTTATCTTTCTTTTTCTAAGTTTACTTCACTGAATTATACTTCTTGAATAATATCTTCGAACTCCAATCTCTGCGATTACTTCTAATACTTTTACTACCTCCACTACTATTGGATTTGAATTGACAATTATATCTCTGTGCTAACGTGGTATGGCAACTTGAACTGCTGTACTTACGTGCAAAGTTCTACGTTGCTGTTGATGATGATGAGTAGATGTATTAGCGAGAATTGAGGAGATTCGGGTCCGAAGATATTATTCAGGGAGTATAATTCAGTGAAATAAATTTAAGAAGAGTAAAATAAAGGTGATGAGGAATTCAGAAGATTAGAATTTCAGAGAAAACCGTAATCTTCTCCATTACAGTCAATACTTTTACTATCACTACCACTATGGGATTCGAATTGACAATTGCATCTTTGTGCTAATGTGGTATCACAACTTGAATTGATGTACGTACGCACGAAGTTCTACGTTGCTGCTTGTTGATTGGATGCACCCGCACCATTGCAGACGATTTTGAGTCATGTCATTTGAACGTCTCTAATAATCGAATACTATCATCTCGCGTACCTCAACCAGGTGTAGTCTACACTTGTCAACATGACTCAGTCTAGTTGTCAGTGACTTCATGTAGTTGTGCCATGTTTTGGTTTGGCCGCCTGTAGCCGAAACATGGTAGGAACCTAAAAAAACAAATATTTCAACCGATAACCCCATCAAATGACTGATTTAAGTTAGGATACCCTTGAAAATCAGGCTTTACTGGATAGTTATTTTGTTCTACTATGGAACTTGATATCAGTGTGTTTTTATACCCACAATCCATGCCAAGAGTGCAACTAAGGAAAGAATTCGATTGACCGCGATCGCTTTGGTCTCATATGCTGTTTTGGGTATGAGGGAGGATGCCACTTCCCGGCTAGTGCAACCAAGGTGCTACAAGCTTCGAAGTGATCGGTTGTTATTCAACTATCCTTCAACCAAGATCAATCTGTACCGAATACTTCCTACAAATTAAATCGATCTCCAAGAAAAAAAAGGAAAAAACATTTTCCATTAAACCAATGAAAAAAAAATTACTAATCAAACTTACAAACAATTTTTCACTGAAACCGCTAACACAAATACGTAAACCGTTATCACGAAATGCTACATCTTGTCTATAAAATAAAATAGAAATAATCAAATTAGATCAGGTTTTTTATTTTTCAATGAGAAGATAAAATGAAGTATTTCCACTTAGAAAAAAAAAGTGTTTAGATTTATTGATCAATAGATTGATAGCCAGAGTGTGGTGCGCGCTACTTATAAGTAGTATAAGAAGCGAGTGAAAACGTAATGTTTGGCAGCAGAAGAGGATGGGGGAAGATCAAGAGAAAGGAAGAGTAAGAACACAATGGAATTTGTGTGAAACGCATGAATAGTGAAATGTCAGACAATAGATTGATGTTTTACAAATTAACCGTTTACGATATGGTTTTCCTATTTTACTGATTAACTCTGTAATTTTCGTTAAATACAATTCGGTTGCCCTCACCTGTGTTCTCCTTCACTACATTTGGTGTCGCTGCCTACACAAAGGATGAAGATACCATGGCCGAAGGAATTTGAGGACGGAGATGTGCGGAGCTTCCTGAGGGAGTTTGAGGCCGTGGCGGAGCTGGTGGGTGTGAAGGAGCCGAAGGCGAAGTTGGTGGTGCTGGGGACGCTGCTGAGAGGCTGGGCAAAGGCCGTATACGACAGCTTGGACGGTGCCACCGGGCGGCTGATGACGGAGTTCGACAGCCCAGTGGACAGAGAGAGAGCGCTGCAGTAGTTCCGGTTGGCGAGGCTGTCGGCTGATGGTGACCCACTGGTGCTTGCTGTGGAGTTCACCAGATTGTTGCGCCGTGCGTTGCCGAATATTGATGAGGAGTCAGAGGCACAGTTGTTGACGTCGCAGTTTATCGAGAGTGTGTCTGCCGCCTTGTCCCAGCAGCTGATATTTGATGTGTTATATGTGTATATATTTCCTTACCCCTACTATTATTAATAATTTTCGGTTGTTGAATGCTGACGAACACACATTCTAGTCAGATGGATTGCCCATTCTTGAACTGAGTTTATGTTGGAGTCTGGTTGAATAACGCTGAGGAAGTGATTTGCATACAGAGATAAATCGTTTAAAGTTCGTCTAAAGAAAATTCATATCCCATTGGAGAAAAGGATAAATCCAAGGTTGCTTACTCTCACTCATTCTCTTTCTCCTGGTGATCGACTGGATTACAAAGACGAAAACATCTGGCAGGAAGAACGGGGTGCATTAGACAGCTCAGATGCAGCTGGACGACCTGGACTTCACAGATGGTCTGGCTCATCTATCGTACACACAACAACAAGCGCAGGCAAAGACAACCAGTGTAGCAGCAACCTCAGCAGCAGTAGGTCTAAATATACACAAAAGGAAAAGCGAAATTCTCCGATACAACACAACATACACCAACCAAATCACACTTCATAGTAAAGCAAGGTGGATCTGAAATAGATGTAAAGGCGCGGATCGGGATAGCAAGAACAACATTTCTACAATAGGATTACATCTGTAACAACTATCAACCAACATTAAAGTCAGAATTTTCAATACAAATGTCAAGACAATTCTACTGTATGGAGCGAAAATTGGGAGAACCAAGAAAGCCAACATTCGAAAGATACGAGTGTTTATCAACAGTTGTCTACGCAAGATACTGAGGATCCGTTGGCCAATCATCATCAGCAACAATCCACTGTGGGAGAGAACACACTAGATTCCAGCGGAGGAAGAAATCAGGAAGAAACGCTGGAAGTGGATAAGACACACATTGCTGAAAGCACCCAACTGCGTCACAAGACAAGTCTCCACAACGGAAAAGAGGAACAGCAATGAACACATTACGCCGAAAAATGGAGACAGACATGAGAAGAATGAAAGAAAATTGGACAGAACTAGAAAGGAAGGTCCAGGACAAAGTAAGTTGAAGAATACTGGTCGGTGGCCTATGCTCCTCTATTGCGGGTAACAGTCATAAGTAAGTAAGTAAATAAGTAAGAATACTTTAGTAAATTAAATTAAAACAACAATAATAATAACTTACACTAAATCTGCTTCACCAGCTTCATAAGTTATTGTACTCAATGATTGATTTAAACCATAAACCATTAATGTATGCAATGCCATACTGTTTGTTGTTGTTAAATAATATTCAATGATAATACGAATGCCATTACATAGAAAAATGGAGAGAGAGAGAGAGACAAATAGAAGGATTAGAAATAATACATATAAATAATATAAATTGTTTTAACAATAAACAGGTGAATTTTTTGATACATAATGTCAAGACCCATAAGAAATACTGGACATTGGCTTTCTCCTGGTAAGGAGGGACTTGTAGTGTGTGTACCTTTAAGTCGGATACACAAGGTTTGTCACCCCAGCCATTGGACAAATTCATAAATCGATTATTCTCAAGATAGATAGATAGATACAACGAGGAACTTTGTACATAAGTACATCAGTTCAAGTTGCCATTATCACATCAGCACAGAGACGCAACTGTCAGTTCAAATCCAAGAGTGATAGCAATAATAGAAGCATTAGCAGAAATGAAGGAGATTAGGGAGCGAACATATGATTCGAAAAGTAGAATTCAGTGAGATAAATTTAGAAAGGAGAAAGGTAGAGATTATAAGGAATGCAGAAGCTTAGAATTTCATAGAACACAAAGAGTGGATTCACCTGCGCCACTGCAAACGATTCTGAGCCATGTCGTTCAAGGTCTCTAACCATTGGTGAAGTTCGTCTCGCGGACCCCAACCAAGTAGCCTACATCTACCAACATGACTTAGTCTACTTGTCAACGAGTTCATGGATTTCTGTCATGTTTTGGTTTGGCCGCCCCTAGCTTTCTTCCAACCTACTCCTACACCACAAAACATAGCTCGTCGCGGCAGTCGGTGATTAGGCATACGTAACGCATGTCTTAACCACCTCAATTGACGAAGTTTCACTACTTCATCTATTGATTTGCCATCCCTACCTAGAACTCGATTCCTAACGACAGCATTGTTGATACGGTTAACCGATTATTCTCAAGTTACTATTCATATGTCGTCTTCTAACCTTGTCTATTATTATTCGCCCGTATCCTTGGTTGTTATTAATCGAGTCTCTGTGTGCCTTCAGTCAGTCAGTCAGATGCAACGTAGAACTTCGTACGTAAGTATATCAGTTCATGTTGCCATACCACATCAGCACAGAGATGTAATTATCAATTCAAATCCAATAGTAGAAGAGGTAGTAAAGGTATTAGAAGTAATCGGAGAGGTGAGGATTAGAAGATATTATTCAAGAAGTATGATTCTATGAGAAAAGTTTAGAAAGTCAAAAGTAGAGGGCTTGAAGAATCCAGAAGATTAGGATTTGAGAGTACAAAAAGAGCGGATGCACCTGCGCCATCGCAAACGATTTTGAGACATGTCATTCAAGGTCTCTAACCATTGGTGACTTTCGTCTCGGAGGCCCAAACCAGGTAGCCTACATCTACCAACATGACCCAGTCTATTTGTCAGTGACTTCATGTATTTGTGCCATGTTTTGGTCTGTCAGCCCCCAATTTTCTTCCAGCCTAAACCTACACCACAAAACATTGCTTGTCGAGACAGTCGGTGGTTAGGAATTCGTAACACATGTACCAACCACCTCAACTAATGAAGTTTCAATACTTCATCTAGTGATCTGCCATCCTTACCCAGTACTCGTTTCTTAACAACAGCATTGTTTACTCGGTTGTCCCAGGATATACGAACAATGCTTCGAAGACACCTATGATCGAAAACCAGTAACCTACGAATATCTTCTACTCTCACTGACCTTTGTACAACACAGGTGATTGATACACAACGTCTGCAATTTCTGTACATTACGAATTTTGTTTATTTTTATGGTTTTTGAGATACGATATATTTTAATGACTATCATTTCGACTTTTACTGTTAAACTGTGAACAATCGCTCTCATAAAGATATTTTATTTATTTAATGATAGGAAGTTATGGGGGAGGGGAATTGTATGTCAGGGTTTGATCAAGCAACTGAAACACATAACTTGTATTGCTAAAATTACAGAGACATGTTAAAGTGATGAGAAAAGTAAACAAACAGTAAAATAATAGTAGCTAGCATACAACTATTGGAAATGAAGTAAACATAATATAAGGTTATTTCCTTTGAAAAATGCCAGACAAAAATATTCCCAAAACAAAACGATAAGAAATGTAACGAGCTACTTTTTAAGGACTTTAAAACTCCAGACAATCTGATATTAAATTGAGATAGAGGCTAAGATTTAACTACAGCAAGATGTCACATTACAATCTGTATAAAGTTATGTTTTACACTTCGTATAAAAATATATAAGTATTTGATACGGTAGAAATAATGAAATATAAGCTAGAACAGAGAAGTAGGCACTGTAATAAACTTTAAATAACACTACATCAGGTAAATAGTTTTAGTTAACATATTATAGCCTTTAAGGTAAGGTATGGTTGCACACAGCTTTTTCCATGCCAATCGTACTCGTTTATCTTTTGTTACTGGTATTACTTGAGAGAGTATATCCAATAGACATAGCACAGATTATAACTTCACTTATAAATTGTTGAATACAATTTTGGAAACTTACTGTAGACTATACTTGAACACAACTGGTTCAGACTATCTCCTTAATTAGGTTAAGCGGTTTTTTTTCATAGCTTTTATTTTTATCTAGTAGTTTAAGAGATTCCGATCTAAGGGTTACTTTTCTTCATCTAACTTTTTGATTTTGATACATGGACATATGGTTTTCAATTTTTCGCAATCGACATAACCACCAAGATATTCGTAGGTTACTAGCATTCGATCATAGATGTCTTAGAAGCATTGCTCATGTATCCTAGGACAACCTAGTAAACAATGCCGTTGTTAGGAAACGAGTACTAGGTAAGGATGGCAGATCAATAGATGAAGTATTGAAACTTCATTAGTTGAGGTGATTGGGACATGTGTTACGAATGCCTAACCACCGACTGCCTCGACAATTTCTCATTTTGGTGAAAGATAGTGGTTGATGAAATCATGCAACAAAGTTACAGCTGGAATTTGTAGGTAGGTAGGGAATCAGAAGACAGCTAAGCAACTTAAAGATTCATTTTAATATGTTAGTCAAACAAACTGCAATAGTTATGAGCAATAAGAAAAGGAGTGTACACCCAAACCGTTCTTTAGTACCCAGCCATAAATTAACAAGGAAACAAAATCTTCAGTTTATTCAAACTATCTCGTTATCTTTTTGATCCCATGAGATTACATTTGGCTTCTAGAACAACAATATTTAAGTGGCTACTTACTTAAAGCAGGATATGAGAGTTACACTGAAATTTATTCTCGCTCCTGTTCAATACGAATGTGCAAACTCTGTAATTCTAGGAGGTTTTATTGCTTAATGTCCTTAAAATTAACTTCATGCCATTCACTTAGTAACTCACAAAGTTGGTACAGACTTTAAGAGATTCATATTGTTTACATTCGTTAAGCAGCATGAATGTCAAGATTTATGTATTGATATACCTAACTCTTGTTGTTTTCATCAGACTACAAGCGTGTTTTTGAACAGGTGCACGTCTAAAGAACACTGAGTCGACAAATAGAACCATAGTCCTACAGGACGCTGAGAAAAATCAAAACTCCTGTACAGTCAGTCACAAAGTACGCAAGCTCATGTAGCAAAGAGTTAAATACAGATGTAAGACTGATATTCCAAGGACACGTACAGCATACGAAGGAGGTTTAGTAACTGAGATGACAGGAGACTATTTGGAGCCATGTGGATTTACAAGATTCTGTTTCCAAAACCACAAGAATTAAAACGAACAGCCATAAAACCTCAAATTTAGGTCCATTATTTACTGACTAGTCAGCACAATCGGTTACCCACGCGAACAGACAATATTAAAATCCACCAGAAACCAGTTTTAAGGTAATGCGCAGTCGGGGTAAATCGCCACGAACTACGTGGTGACTGTAGAAAATGGTGAAAACTTGTTAAATTAACGCAAATGTCTTCAGTAACCAATAAAATTTACTGACTGTGACGATTGCCTCCCCTTCGTTTCTAGATCATTTCAAAATGTTCAACCACAGGTGAACAACAGCCCTGATAGATATATCAGAAATGCCTGTTGTCTTTTAAAAAAGTCGAGACTTTCCGCACTATTGATATCAGCTTCTTTTCCAAACGCTGATTAGCAGAAAGCGGATTCTTGTAAAGATGTTTCCTTCATCTGTTAATAGTTAATTAGTCAGTCAGTCAGTCAGATGCAACGTAGAACTTTGTACATAAGTACATCAGTTCATGTTGCCATACCACATCAGCACAGAGAAGTAATCGTCAATTCAAATCCAATAGTAGAAGAGGTAGTAAGGGAATTAGAAATAATCGGAGAGGTTAGAATTAGAAGATACTACTCAAGAAGTATGATTCAGTGAGAAAAGTTTACAAAGTCAAAACTAGAGGTGTTGAAGAATCCAGAAGATTAGCATTTGAGAGAACACAGAGAATAAATGCACTGGCGCCATTGCGAACGATTTTGAGCCATGTCATTCAAGGTCTCTAACCATCGATTATTATGATCTCGCGGACCCCAACCAGGTAGTCGACAATTACCGACATGGCTAAGTCCACTAGTCAATGACTTCATGGATTTCTGCCATGTTTTGGTTTGGCCGCCCCTAACTTTCTTCCAAACTACTCCTACACCACAAAACAAAGCTCTTCGAGGCAGTCGGTGGTTGGGCATACGCAACACGTGTCCCAACCACCTCAACTGGTGAAGTTTCAATACTTCATCGATTGATCTGCCATTCTTACCTAGCACCCGATTCCTAATAACAGCGTTGCTCACTCGGGTGTCCCACGATATACGAGCAATGCTTCGAAGACACCTATGATCGAAAACCAGTAACCTACGAATATCTTCTACTCTCACTGGCCATGTTTCACAGCCATAAAGTAAGACGGAGCGAACTACTGCGCAGTACACTCGTCCTTTAGTCAGCAAACGGATATCTCGCCTTCGCCATAAGTGACGCAGGTTCGCAAAAGCCAATCGAGCCTTCTGTATCCGAGCTGAGATTTCGTCAGTCACCAGGCCATCGGCACTGATGAGACTCCCAAGATAAGTGAAGCGGTCTACGCGTTCAACCACTTCACTCCCTATCACTAGTTCAGGTGCCGATGCAACCCAGTCTTGAAGCAACATTTTGCATTTCGAGGGGGAAAACCGCATCCCGAACATGCTTGCATTGTTGCTTAGGGTAGTCAGAAGACTCTGCATTTTGTCAGCGTCTTCACCAAGTAGGACTATGTCATCGGCATATTCTAAGTCAATAAGCGAGCCACCTGGAAGAAGGTCTACTCCTGAAAATTCAGACGAGGATAATGTTATGTCTAGGAGCATGTCTATGATAAAATTAAACAAGAATGGAGAAAGTGGACATCCCTGACGGACACCACTTGATGTAGAGAATTCCGGTGACAGTTCGCCATAAGCCCTCACCCGACCAGTGATGTTCGAGTAAAGAGCTTGTATAAGGTTAATGTACTTCTGTGGTACACCTTTCAATGACAGACACTGCCACAGAACCTCACGATCAACAGAGTCGAATGCCGCCTTAAGGTCTAGGAAAACAACTATTGTAGGACGCCTAAATGTGTGTCTATATTCCAGGACCTGTCTGAGTGTGAAGACGTGGTCTATACAGCCACGTCCAGGTCGAAAACCAGCCTGGTTTTCTCGAGTCTGCTCTTCACGAGCTTTCGTTAAGCGTCGAAGCATTATTGAGGCCAATATTTTAGATACTATATTAGTTAGACTTATTCCTCTGTGATTGTCACAAGAAGACTTTTGTCCTTTCTTATAGATTGGGACAATCAAGGATTGAGACCAGTCGGATGGGATTACGTCCAGTTCCCAGATTTTACCTAAGATCTCAGTCAATCTAGCTGCTAAAACTGGACCACCATCCCTGAATATCTCAGGAGTCAGTCTATCAGGACCTGCAGCTCGTCCTCGTTTCAGATTTCCTAACGCTTTCTCAACGTCATAAAGACTAGGGGGACTTACGTCGATTTGCCATTCAGGATGACTGGAGATCGTGGGTAACTGAAGAGTGGCTCGAGGCCAGTTGAACTGATCCCTAAAGTGTTCTGCCCATCGATCCAGCCTCCTGGATTGAGAATGGATAATAAGACCATCCTTTTCCGAGATAGTCTCACTCACATTTGGGTTCTTAATACCGGTTTCTTTGATAAGGCGGAAAAGTTGTCTAGTGTTGCCTATCGCCGCTGCCTTTTCCGTCGCTTTTGCTTTCGCCACCCACCACTGTTCGCGGTCGTTACGCAGACTTTTTATAAGTCTGCGCCTAAGCTGACTACGCTCTTCATCATGCTCAGAGTCAGGTGGGATGCGTTTTCGAGCATCCATCAGTTCGGTGGATGCGACTGAAATCCACGGCTTCATCCTAGCCTCATGGTTTACCTTCCTAGCAGATATCACTGCTGTTTCCACAGCCTTTTTGATATCATACCAACCTGCTTCTGGATGGGAATCGCTTGCATGGTTGCTTAACTCTCTTTCTAGTTGCTCCTGAAATATTTTCTTGGTTTGATTATCATTAAGTAAAGCCCTAAGAGGCTTCCTTACGGTGTCTTTCCTACGTCCAGTAAGCCTTAAACAGATACGAGCTCGCACTAGAGCATGATCTGAATCCAAACATGTGCTCCAGAACGAGCGACAGTCTTCTATCGAACCCCTCCATCGGTGGCTGATGGCGATGTGATCTAGTTGAGTCCAACGTTGAGACGAATTTGGAGGTCGCCAGGTCAACAGATGCTTTTCCTTATGCCTAAAGTTGGTGTTCGCTAAGAATAGGCGGTTATCTGAGCACAGTTGCAACAGACGGTCACCATTGTCTGTTCTCTCAGTCGCTACACCATAACATCCACCAAGATGTCTTTCCTTTTCACCTAGTCTACCTACTTGAGCATTAAAGTCACCAGCCATTATTACTATGTCAGAGCGCTTAGCTTTTTGGAGGAGGTCCGAAAGCTTTCTGTAAAACTCATCTTTAACCTCGTCTGCACTGCAGTCAGTGGGGGCATAGGCAGATATGACGAAGAGGCAACGGCGAGTGTCCCTATCCTTACGAGTCCTTACTGTCCCGTTTAGTCGGACAGCGCACAAACGACTATCTACTGGGATCCAGTCTAGGAGAGATAATTCTGCCCTAGGACTCAACGCTATGTCTACACCAGCAAGACCCCTGGAAGCAGCATCAGGGCTACCGGATACCCGAAGAGTAAATCGAGCTGCTTCTTCGTTTTGACAAGGTGGAATCAGGTTAATGACTTTACTAGGATCCTGTATGCGCGTTTCCGAGACGCAGCATACATCGATGGCACGAGTTTCTAAAGTCCTAGCTAATGATGCCTGTTGCCCTATTTGACACAATGTCCGTACATTAAAAGCTCCAATATGTAGTCTAGAACGGGGTTTCAAGAGACCAGGAACGACGTTTCGTGATCTCGCTTCGTCTGCATTAGCGGTGCAGTGAGAAAAGGGTGTGTGAGTAGAGTTAGTTGTAGAGATAAAAGAGACATTAGGGGGTGTAGGAAGGATTTGATTTTGACCAATTTGGTCTCGCGTGCTGTTATGGGTATGAGGGCGGTTGTCACTTCCCGGCTGCCCACACCGTGGAAGGTTGTTTCTTGAGGGACCTGAAAAGGAAGATGGATTAGTGTTGGTGCGTGACCGCAGAGCCCAAGGGACAACTGCTTGAGGCCGGTCACGCACGGCCTTTTTATGAAAGGTATTTTGAGAATTAGCTCCGTTCTTAAAGGCCCTTAGTGGGCACCCTTACCCAAGGAGACGGAAATCCGTGAGTTAGGGGGAGTGTGACATTTTTAGGGTCGACCTTTTCTAACCCTTCCTTCCTTGTGAGAAGGCAGCATCGCTGCAGATGCTGGTTGTCCGAGGGAAACACCTTACTGCTGTCACACCCCTCTGCAGTCAGCAGTACGACTTCGCCCTCAGACCTTGGGTAGCTGCTTTTAGTCTCATCGTTCTCCAATCGACCAGCCTGGCATGGTAGGACCTGCAGGAACATATGTTCCAGCCAGTATAGCTCGGTTGGGTCATCACGATAGGCAAGCCCGACCACCACGTCAAGGTAGCAGCTTCGGTCGGGCTCTGTGTGCCTTATTTTTGTCTGACTATAAATACTTAGTCAGACTTCATTGCATTGAGTTAACTCATTCGTCTTTCATTACTTCGCTTCACCTTTACTCGTACGCTTTTCATTCTCATATCTGTCTGCTTAATTAAATGTATGAAATAAAACCATCCACACAGCCGTATTCAGCTTCTTACTACCGCCGTCGTGCACAAACAGTGTTCGCCTAAGTATGTGATATACGTAAATACAAGGGAAGATTTATTTCATAGCATACTCAACCGTTCGGGCAAACTGGAATCAGATCGTAGGCCATTATAAAGTGGTGAGTCATGCTTCAGACCGAACACAGTCACCGAAGACTCTTACGGTGCATCAGTAACCTTTTGATGATTGTTGAAGCTAATAACATCAGTTTCATCGCAGTATGGGACTCAACAACAATGAGCATTCACCAACTCCGCACGCAGAAATCGGACCCAGGACTATCGATATTACGAGCAAACCCTTAACCACTCTACATCATTGAGCACACGCTATATCAAAGATGTTCATGCCTAAATACTTCCCATTAATCCATCATTTCAACTAATATAAACACGCTTTGCTGAGTTATTTTTCATATCGCATGTGACACAGATCAAAGGGTACACTAAATCCTAGTTAATTGTGAGCAGAACAAGAGAGAGAGACATAGAGAGAATGAATTTCCCTTATTACATAAAAACTCACTTTTCTTTTGTTTTCGATACAATATCCGACCAAAGATGAATCATTACAGCAGCTGTGAAACCGAAAAAGAAAACAGACAGATACAATCAATCATTATTGTCAGTAAAAGTGAATATCAACACAATATGTGTGGTGCCAGCTACTTAAAAGTAGTATATGACGTGAGTGTCAACGTAATGTCTGGTGGCAGCAGAAGATGAGGGAAGATCAAGAAAGTAAGAGTTAGAAGAACACAATGGAATTTGTGTATGAAACGCATGAATAGTGACAATGGATTGATGTTTTGCAACAGGAACAGTCCAGTTCGATATGATGGACTGATATTTTGCAAATAAACGATTTACGATATGGTTTTCCAATTTTACTGAGTAACTCTGTAAATCTCGTTTAGTAAAATCCGGTCGCCCCACCTGTGTTCTCGTTCACTACATATGGATTGTGATACTCATTTCAAAGTATGCTTCAAACTCTGTTTACGAATTCGCCTTTATTGAATACTGAGAACAAAACAATGGTGAACCAGCAGCGTCCAGATAGGTTAATGTGATCTGATTGTCCCAATTGTACCGGCAAGAAGTCTTGATGTAGCGTTGGAAGTGTTTTCTGCAAAAATCCACCCAGCACACAATCAATCCAAGCACTCCAATTGCGTTTATTTATACTCGCCATAGAGACGTCCTTGGGACAGTCACAAAAATAGCACGCTAAAATGATACAGTAACTAATCACAGCAAAGGATTTTCCTGGTGGGAAATGTGATCTCAAGGTCAACCGGTCAGCCCATGAATAAAATCCAAAATACGGATATTTATCAAGCGAGTTCTGGGGATCTAACTAACATCCCCAACATGGATACTGAAGTATATTATACTATTAGGATATTCAACCAATATCCTTATTTTGCAAGTCTAATTCCTATTGGTCGTCCTAACTATCAATGTCACATACTTCAAATGTTGTCTCCTATTTGACCTAACTGTATATAAATATGCATTATCTGTAAAGTTGTATGATCCGGATCCTTAGTCCGGGATCCTTATCCTCTTTCGGACTCGGACCTTGTACTTTCTGGATGCTTGTAGAATACATGTTCTACTTCATATCAAATCTTCTTTTACTCAATGGGAGGGGGTTGGACGCTCGGATTACAGTGGCCTATCGTGTCGCCCGGATCATCGATCCTCACTCTTGTTTACCGACTATGGTGAACTCGTAATAGCATTCAAGCATATCAAGTGACGTGGTCACTTGCATTCGTAACAATTACACTGATGACAAGTTCAAAGTAGGGTAGAAGATTCTCGTGTTGTTAGCTGCGTGCTGATTGGTTAAATCTAATCCAGTCGATCACGTGAATTGCAATCCAGAAGCTTCTCATGTGAATACTATAGAGAAGCTAACGTTGTATCTATTTTTGCCTTCTTCGCCTTCGCCATCACCTTTGGCTTCTTATTTCCATTTAACCTTGCTATTTGAAATATAAACTTTTCCTGTTCCACCGTGTTTTTGATTCTTTGGAACTTGTCCAGTGTATTGTGTGGTCAGAGAATACTACTAAGCAATAGGAATTAGCTGGGAATTATTCAAGCAAGCGTTACAACATTTTCCAATGCATAAAAGTATTCATTGTTTGTAAGTATAGAATGATTGAAAAAGAAGGGCAATAAAATCATCTTTTGATAATCGTTGAGAATTTTTTAAAAAAAACCAAGTTAACAAGACTGGAAGTACTTTTATAATTGGCATTTAACAGGAACTACCCAGAGAGTTCTAGATAAACAAGTCAATCTCAACTACGTTAACTAGTTTTCTCATCATTTTGCGAGCACCTACCTATGCAATATCAAAAGAAAGCTTACAAATAAACTCATAAATATCCCTGTAAGATCTATTTTTTGAAGGCTGAAAATCCCTCCATGTATACACTTGTAATTTGTCCCTAACTGATTCCTTCAGTTGTACATTTTGTGTAGTCTGTTCGATTCCATTTGGAGATGATAATATTTGCCATTTGATTATAGTTTCTATTTCTTCTGTCTATATTGAGTTTCTATGTTTCTTTCTGAAATGCATTGATGTTGTTTAAGCTGATACTTAGTCATGGCGGCAGCCATATTGATTTGTTCCTCTCTTGGACTGTAATTGTGCATTTTGATTGTGAATTGATTCACTTATCTAGAATAAGAAACACTCTGTGTTATAAAGCAACCAAATATTATCTTTCGAACGAATCTGATCTATCCAGGAGAGATAGAATAACATTTATTTGTTGCTGCTGATTCGATAATTGAACATTTGTTGGTGGAATAACTGAGTGGTAATATTTGCTTAGGTAATTATGTACATTTATATTTATGATGAATATTAGGACCGTTCGTTATTTAACCAAATCACTTGTTTTGGATTTAAACTTGATCAAGACGCGTCACCTAAACTACCTGGACAGTTATTCCTCAGTCCACTAAACCTCAGTTTGAATCCTACATCCTTTTGTTTTGATTTACCCAGAATGACCTTGAAATTAAAGTTGACTTTCACAATTCCGTCATCTGTATTCCGTTTTCAAGTATCAAGTGTAGATTTATACGAAACAATGAAAATTTTAGTAATAATACTTACACTATTCAATTCTGAGTACATCAACACTTCATTTGAAAAAAAATCAAATATATGTACTCTCTACTATTCTTATAGAAAAAGTTACATGAATAATTAATTACCTTTGGGACATTTGAATCGTGTACTTTGTTGAAACCATAAATGACCATATTTTAAACGTGATTCAGCACCAGGCTCTAAGTTTAAATCTACAGGTTGCTAAATGTACGTAGAGTAATAATAATAATAATAATAATAATAATAATAATAATAATAATATAGACACACAAACACACACGCAAATAGGTTAATTAGAGATACAAACAACTATCTTTCATTTTCCAATCAATGTTAATTCACCAATGAATAATAAGTCATAGTGGATGTGCACTGTTGAGGCATTTCATACGAGGGACAAAATGGGCCTTTCACTAGTGTTGCTGCTGCTACTATTAGTTTTTCGATGATGGTTCAACATGAAAGGCCGTGCACGATTGGCCTTAAGCAGTTGTCCCTTGGGCTTTGCAGTCACGCTCCCAGATCTCTGAGACCAACGTAAATCTACTTTCTTTTTCAGGTTCTTCAAGAAACACCCTTCCACGTTGTGGGCAGCCGGAAAGCGACAACCGGCCTCATACCCGTAACAGCATACGAGACCGAATTGGTCAAAATCAAATACACACTTCATATGTATATGATAGTATTTTTCTGATAGAACAACTATTCGAAGCCCGCTACAGTTTGAATTGCTGAATGATATAATACCACTAGCTCTTACACATAGAATATGATTTGCAGCCAAGTTACATGAATATGTACCCAATGAGTTATTTAATAGACTTTCTGAGAGCGCGGATTGGCAAAGCAAGGGCTGCATTTCTACAGTTGAAGAATATCTGGAACTCCAAACAACTTTCAACCAAAATCAAAATCAGCATTTTCAATACAAATGTCAACACAGTTCTACTGTATGGAGTGGAGGAAACTTGGAGAACTACTAAAGCCATTATCCAGAAGATACAAGTATCTTTTTTACATAATTATCTACACAAAAGACTTCAGATTCGTTGGCCAGACACCATCAGAAACAACGTACTGTGGGAGAGAACAAACCAGATTCCAGTGGAGGAGGAAACCAGGAAGAAGCGGTGGAAGTTGATAGGACACACACTACGAAAAGCACCAAACTGAGTCATAAGACAAGCCCTCACATGGAACCCTGAAGGCAAAAGGAAAAGAGGAAGGCCAAAGAATACATTACGCCGAGAAATGGAGAAAGATATGAGAAGAATGAGCGTATACTGGAAAGAACTGGAAAGGGAAGCCCAGGACAGAATTGTTTGGAGAAAACTGGTGAGCGGCCTATGCTCCTCTATTGGGGGTAACAGGCATAAGTAGTAGGTAAGTAAGTTAAGCCTTAATTGTTGTTTTAGACAGTAACATTAGCATGAACATCTATCTATTCTGTATCGAAAATAACTGTCAAAATGTCTTGTCCTGATGATTTTGTCGATGGCCGACTGTTTTCTTTGTAAAAGTAAATTTTATTTCCGCAGCTTTACTTATTTCCGTATTCCTTCTTTTTTTCGGTTTTAACGACCTCTGATTGCATAACTATGTTAGTGAATAGAATTTCGTAGTTGTTGGCATAGATTTATGATAGGTGATAAAAAGTCATATCGTGTGTACTTTTATTCGTGTGTATACACACTGAAGAAATGTGTTAACTTATTACAAAAACACAACAACAAATGAATAAGACAAATCCCATATCATCTACAAAACAAATGTAATAAAAACTAACATTGCATATGTGTAACTCCGGGACTCGAACCGGGAGATGTACGTACGTACATCAGTTCATTTCGCCCCATAACACATTAGCACAGAGACGCCATTGTCAATTTAAATCCCATAATAATAGAGGTAGTAGAAACATTAGCAGTAATGAAGAAGATCAGGGTTTGAATATATTATTCAAGAAGTCTATAATTCAGTGAGATAAGGTTAGAAAGACAAAAGCAGACATGTTAACGAATCCAGAAGATTAGCAGAACCTACAGTTCACAGCCTAAATTGATGATCACGTGTTAATTTTACAATTCAATAATGGATGAAAGGTAGAAAAATAATGAATAAAAAAAACGACAGAACATACTACTCACTTTCATATCAGTTTTGGAATCTAATAAATTGAAATCCGTAGCTACACATAGAATGAAAAAAAAAATTCAATGCAATTCAAGTTACGTAATAAATAAATCAAACAATAGTTAATGAAAATTGTTATCAATCTTTTTTTTAAAAAATAATAATAAAAGCTTCTAATGACAGAAAAAAACTAAACAATGTGGTACCATTCTAAAAGAAAAAATCTCCTTATTGACCAAGTGCAGAGTCTTCTGACTAGCCTAAGCAACAATGCAAGCATGTTCGGGATGCGGTTCTTACCCTCGAAATGCAAAATGTTCCTTCAAGATTGGGTTGCATCGGCACCTGAACTAGGGATAAGGAGTGAAGTAGTCGAGTGTGTGGACTGCTTCACTTATCTTGGGAGTCTCATCGGTGCCGATGGCCTGGTGTGTGACGAAATCTCAGTACGGATACAGAAGGCTCGATTGGCTTTTGCCACGTAGGCGAGATATCCGTTTGCTGACTAAAGAACGAGTGTACTGTGCAGTAGTTCATTCCGTCTTACTTTATGGCTGTGAAACATGGCCAGTGAGTGTAGAAGATATTCGTAGGTTACTGGTATTAGATCATAGGTGTCTACGAAGCATTGCTCGCATATCCTGGGACAACCGAGTGAGCAACGCTGTTATTAGGAATCGGGTGCTTGGTAAGAATGGAAGATCAATAGATGAAGTAATGAAACTTCATCAGTTGAGGTGGTTGGGACATGTGTTACGTATGCCTAACCACCGACTGCCTCGAAGAGCTTTGTTTTGTAGTGTAGGGATAGGTTGGAAGAAAGCTAGAGGCGGTCAGACCAAAACATGTCAGAAACGCATGAAGTCATTGACAAGTGGACTTAGCCATGTCGGTAATTGTCGACTACCTGGTTGGGGTCCGCGAGATGATAATAATCGATGGTTAGAGACCTTGAATGATATGGCTCAAAATCGTTCGCAACGGCGCCGGTGCATTTATTCTTTATGTTCTCTCAAATCGTAATCTCTCCGATTACTTCTAATACTTTTACTACCTCTTCTACTATTGGATTTGAATTGACAATTACACCTATGTGCTGATGTTGTGGTATGGCAACATGAACTGATGTACTTACGTACGAAGTTCTACGTTGCGTCTGACTGACTGACTGACTGAAAAAACCTTTTTATTGACCATCATCTATCTGTGACGTTTTGGTAGAGAAGTAAACTGCCTCACTTTGACAGTCGGTCAGTTAGTCAGTCATCTCTACAACATAGAACTTGATACGTACGTAGATCAGTACACGTTGCCGCCATACCACGTTACCATAGAGATGTCCATGTCAATTCGAATCCCATATTATTATACACAGTAGTATAAGTATTAGTGATAAAGGTGAAGATTCAAAGAAGTATAAACCATTGAAATAAACTTGAAAAGACAAGATTAAAAGTGATAAAGGTGAATTCATAAGACTAGAATTTGAGAGAACACACAAATAATCGATGCATTTGCACCATTCAAAGTCTCTAACTACATCGGTTACGATTGCCTGGCGGACCGTAAATCAGGTAGTCTACACCTACTTAGATGGCTCAGTCCACTAGTCAACGATTATGTAACAATCGAGTGAATGGAATTTACGACTAGGTATCAACTTCACTGACTATGAGAAAGTATTAACAAATGGGAACAGGATGACAATAAGGGGAGAGCTTTTTTGATACCCTGTGTCAGGATTTTCACTGGGAAGGTCAAAACAGTTCTACTGTATGGGTCGTGTTGGGGAAATTAGATCCCCGAAAATCACTTGGAAAAGGTCTCCATTTTGTAATTTATTGCTGAAATTTTGAACTTCATTGTTTTCACGCCCCAAGACGCTTATTTTGGCCTTCAGCTTACATTTCCCACTCGGGAAATCCTTGACTGTCATTGGTTGATGCATTATTTTTGTGCGCTAATTTATGGCTCTCAACGAGGGCGTTTCTGTCATTGTATAAATAAGCTTTAGCTGTGCGTTTGTGAACTTCGTATTTTTTGAATGCCTGTAGAATACATTCTCCACACCTTATCAAGACTTCTTGATCCAGTTAGTGGGGCCTGTGACAAACAGATTAGAATAGTCTATCGCGTCAATGAATCATTGATCTTCGTTCCGATTTCCTAGTAAAGTGAACTCGTAATAGCATTCAAGAATATCAGAAAGGTCAAGAAAATTCTACTATATGAGGTGGGAACTTGGAGAACCATCTGAAGGCCATCATTCGGATGATACAAGCGCAAGATACTGAGAATCCGTTGGCCAACATACTATGGGAGAGAACAAACCAGATTCCAGCCGAAGAAAGAATCAGGAAAGGACGCTGGGGGTGAATAACACCAACAATGCGAAAAACGTCTAACTGCATCAAAAGACAAGTCCTCACATGGAATACTCAAGGTCAAAGGAAAGTAGAAAGCCCGAAGAACACATTACGCCCAGAATTGGAAGCACACATAAAAAGAATGTACAACAATCGAATAGAACTGGAATGGAAGGTGCAAGACAGAATCGGTTGTAGAATGCTGATCGGCGGTGTATGTTCCATCAGGAGTAACAGGAGTCAGTAATTAAGCAAACATATGCATATGTAAACATACAAATATTAGACTATTATTTTATTTTACGTAATGCAATAAAAAAACCTACTTAGAAATTTATTCTCATACGGGAGATGTAATTGTTTTTCATCTGGTTTCGAATGTAACCAATCATTCATAATATGTTCAGGTATATCTAAATGATTTTTTTTACAAGAAAAAATGAGAGAAAAATAGTTACTCAGTAGAGTAAATAAACATTGCAAAGAAATAATCACAGAAACGAATACAATAAAGGGAATGAAGAGAGGAGTCTGGAGCCCCTCTAGGACTACAGCCGATCTGAAGCCCGCCGGATAAAGGAGGAGAGTTGGGCATGATGGGTTTTAGCGACTGCATCCTATAAAAAAAACTAACTCGCTAAAAACAACGCTAAACAGAAAACATAATTTAAACCATTTTAACTCTGCCCTGGGAGTTAGAAGAGCAGGAGAGTGATGACATCTCATGATAAAAGCCGAGTTGCTTCGGAAGTCGCGAGGCCGAAGCCTCTTCTGACAACCAGAGCTACCTTTCTTTTAGGTACATGGAATGTTCGAACAATTTGGGAGACTACCGGAAGACTATTTCAAGTTGCTGCAGAAATGAAATAAAGAGCGGATAACGTGGTAACATCCCTAATCCTAGGGTTAGGCCATGTGACTTTGGGATTCTGGAAATCCTTTTAAACCATGCTAAATATAGTTATTTATGATTACACAGAGATATCAGTACAAAGGTGTACCTAAATATGCATACGTCAAACAAGTCATTGGATTTGTGTATTGGCTAGCTTGGATCCAGATCAGGTGCCTAAACCAAAGAAGGTAGCCACTCCCTGGGCCATTTTGTCTAGTTTGGTCAGGTGCGTTGTTACGAATATAGGCGAGGATGTCACTGGCTTCTCACAACGTGGAAGGATAATTTCGTGAGGAACCTGAAAAAGAAGTTGGACCATTTTTGGTCTAATAGAGCTTGGAGCGTGATTGCATAGCGTGATGACTGCTTCACTTATCTTGGGAGTGTGCGACGAAATCTCAGCACGGATACAGAAGGCTCGATTGGCTATTGACAACTTGTGCCACTTATGGCGTAAGCGAGATATTCGCCTGCTAAATAAAAGACGAGTCTACTGCGCGACAGTTCGCTCCGTCCTACTTAATGGCTGTGAAACATGACTAGTAAGAGTAGAGGATATTCGTAGGTCACTAGTATTCGACTATAGCTGTCTTCGAAGCATTGCTCGTATATCCTGGGACAACCGAGTAAGCAATGCTGGGGTTACGAAAAGGTTATTAGATAAGAATGGCAGATCAATTGGCGGAGTGAATGTTCATCAGTTAAACTGGTCGAGACGTGTTACGAATGCCCAACCACCGACTGCCTCGATGAGCGATATTTTTCGATGTAGGAATAGGTTGGAAGAAAGTTAGGAGCGGACAGACCAAAACACGGCACAAATCCATGAAATCACTGACAAACGGATTGAGTCATATTGGTAAGTATCGACTACCTGGTTGGGGTCCTCGAGATGATAGTAATCAATGGTTAGAGACCTTGAACAGCAACGAGGACTCCATATCGCGCTAACTTGCTGATCCTGACATGCAAAAGCCCTACTCTAGACACACTTTAGTACCTAAGTTAAATTCAACATAGGGCTTATCCTTTTTTAGTGGCCTCCAGTTAACGCGAACGGTTGAGTATGCGATAAAAAAAAATCTATCGTCCCTTCAATTTCTGTTTGTCATACTTAGGCGAACACCATTTGTGCGACAGCGTTAATAAGAAGCCACTAAATAAGGTTTTGTGGATAGATTTATCGCATACATTCATCAAAGCAGACAGACATGAGAATGAAAAGTATACAATTATACAAGTAAAGTGAAGTGAAATGGAGAAGGCGGCTGAGTCAACTAACTCGATACGATGAAGAATGATAACGTGATGATTATAGTCAGGCAAAATATAAGCCAGACATGCGATCGGCAAATACTACCAAGATATGATCGAAAGATTATTGACAAGGTCGAAAGATGTGAAGACAGTAACTTGAGCAGCACTGTAGGGTTTATTAGTTTGTGCAAAGAATGGGAAACAAACCCTGTGGGCTCAATATATTTGTACACACACTACAGCTATAATAGAATACTAAGTATCCTACTCCATATAAAGGCAAACTTTTAAACTAACACTTAACATACAAAGTCATTAATATCGATATACTGAAAATAGATATGTACTAGACCACTCTATCAAGATAACTCAAAATGGAGCTCCCTTTGGGGCGATGTTAGGATATTCACCAAATATCCTTAGAATACTATTTTTAGAAGTGCGATCCTATTGGTCGATTTCTATTGGCCGAAATTATGATCGTCCTTACCGTCAGGGTCAAATACTTCATGTTACCTCTTATTGGTCATCTGGACGGTCAATGTCATTCAAATGTTCTTTTCTATTGGTCGTCCTAAATTGTCAATGTCACAGACGTTGATGCTTTTTCTTATTCGACCTTAGTGTATAAATACGCGCTATCCCCTGTCTACCTCTTCTTCTGTATTCGAAGCAATAAACAACTTCCTTCCACGGTGTTACGTTCTGATTTCTAGGAGATTTGGAAAAAGGCTTTTGGGTCGTATTGTGATATTTGAATTGGACGCCGTTAGGACTGAAGAGTTTTACGTAGCAGCGTTACAACAGGCGACTGCCGGTCCCAAGCCCGCCGGATAGAGGAGGGCGGTTGAGTATGGGGTTAACGACCTGTTAGGGATGTTAGATCCCCAGAATTCACTTGGAAAAAGTCCAAATTTCGTAATTTACTTTGAAGTTTTGAATTTTTATGCTTCCGCGCCCAAAGACGCTCATTTTGAACTGCAGCTCCCACTCGGGAAATTCCTTAACTTTCATTGGTTAATGGATTATTTTAGTACGCTATTTTGTACCTTTCACCAAGGACACTTTATCATTGTATAAATAAGCTTCAGTTGTGTGCTTTTGGACATCGTAATATCTGGTTGCCTATGGAATACATTATTTGTACGCCTTATCAAGCACGATTGCTTCCTCTAGTTAGTGGACACCCCTGGTATTAGAGTAGCCTATCGTCTTACTGCTGAATCATTGCTCTTCATTCCGTTTACCAAGTAAAGTGAACTCATAACAGCAGTCAGTCAGTCAGGTGCAACGTAGAACTTCGTACGTATGTACATAAATTCAGGTTGCCATACCACATTATCATACAGAGACGCAAATGTCAAATCAAATCCCATAGTGATAGAGATAGTAGAGGTATTAATGGTAATAAAGAAGACTAGGGTTCGAATATATTACTCAAGAAGTATATAATTCAGTGAGATAAGGTTATAAAGACAAGCTTAGAGGTGCTGACGAATTCAGAAGATTAGGATTTAAGCACTTGCGCCATTGCAAACGATTTTGAGCCATGTCGTTCAAGGTCTCTAACCATTGGTGACTTTCGTCTCGCAGACCCCAACCAGGTAGTCTACATCTATCAACATGACTCAGTCCACTTGTCAGTGACTTCATGGATTTCTGCCATGTTCTTTTCTGGCCGCCCCTAACTTTCTTCCAATCTACTCCTACACCACAAAACAGCTCGTCGCGGCAGTCGGTGGTTGGCCATACGTAACACGTGTCTCAACCACCTCAACTGATGAAGTTTCATTACTTCAACTATTGATCTGCCATTCTTATCTAGCACCCGTTTCCTAACGACAGCATTGCTTACTCGGTTGTCCCGCGATATACAAGCAGTGCTTCTAAGACATGTATGATCGAATACTGGTCACCTACAAACATCTACTCTTAATGGCCATGTTTCGCATCCATATAGGAGAACGGAGCGAACTGCTGAGCAGTACACTCTTCCTTTAGTCAGTAAACGGATATCTCTCCTACGCCATAAGTGACGCAGGTTGGCAAAAGCCAATCGAGCTTTCTGTATCCGCGCTATGATTTCGTCAGTCACCAGGCTATCAGCACTGATGAGACTCCCCAGATAAGTGAAGTGTTCAACACGTTCGACTACTTTACTCCCTCTATCACTAGTTCAAGTGCCGATGCAACCCAAATCTTGAAGCAACATTTTACATTTCGTGGGGGCAAACCGCATCCCAAACATGCTTGCATTGTTGCTTATGGTAGTCAGAAGACTCTTCACTTTGTCAGCATCTTCACCGAATAGAACTATGTCATTGGCATATTCTAGATCAGTAAGCAATATTCCTGGTAAAAGGTTAACCCCTGAAAAATCTGACGAGCTTAATGTTAACTCTAAGAGTATGTCTACAACAAAGTTAAAAAGGAATGGAGAGAGTGGACAGCCCTGACCGTCACCACTTGATGTAGAGAATTCAGATGACAGTATTCAAGCATATCAACGATCCCAATCCATCCAGTAGAAAATGAACTCGCTATGCAAAAAAAAAAAACGCTAACCACAACAAAAATACACGTAAGTAAGTAAGTAAGTAAGTTAAGTAAAGTGAATTTCAATAAATTTACCTTCTTTTTGATAAGCCACATTAAACCATGATTCATGCAATAAATTAGATTCATCATTTTTCACTGATGCAGCAAATGTTGATGAAAGGAAGAAAATAGCTGCACGATCTGGTGTCATTAATTTCAATAAATTAATATATAACTGAAATTATTAACAACAACAACAACAACAACACCAATGGATGACGTAATGATTCATTAGGGAAAAAATAATAATAATAATAAACATTCCGTAAGGATATGATCATTCTAAACAAGGGGGTATATAGATTATTACGATTAGTTTATATATGTATATTTCTTTTCAGTCAGTCAGTTAGTCCCAACGGTAGAACTTCGTACGTACGTACGTACGTACATAAGTTCAAGTTGCCAAACCACATTAGCACACAGAGACACAATAGTCAGTTCAAATAAACTCAAATCGTTTGCATTAGCGGTACAGGGCGATAAAACAATGCAAGGGGTAAGTCGTAGATATATGAGAGATATTAGGTGGTGTAGGAAAGATTTGATTGTAACTAATATGGTTTCGTGAGCTGTTACAGGTATGGAGGCGGATGTCACTTACCAGCTGCCCACAACGTGGAGGGGTGTTTATCGAGGAACCTGAAAGAGAAGTTGGATTAGTGTTGATCTTAGAGACCTGGGTGCGTGACCGTATAGCCCAAGGGACAACTGTTTGGGGCTGGTCATGCACGGCTTTTCACGTGGCCTTACAACCGGAGACGGAAATCCGTGAGGTAAGTAAGGTGAGGTGTGACATTTTTAGGGTCGACCATTCCTAATCCCTTCCTTCCTTGCGAGACGGCAACATCGCTGCAGATGCTGGCTGTCCAAGTGAAACACCTTACTACTGTCACACCCCTCTACAGTCAGCAATACGACTTCGCCCTCAGACCTTGAGTTTCTGCTTTTAAACTCATCGTTCTCCAATCGAATTGCCTGGCATGGTAGAACCTAGAGGAATATATGTTCCAGCCAACAGAGCTCTGTAAGTTCATCACGTTAGGCAAAACCGACCACCACGTCAAGGTAGCAGATACGGTCGGGTCATTCACTCCGTACACCATTGTCATGATAATTTACTAGCGTCAACTGCTTGCCAGCTTATTATTTATTTATTGTCTTCCCTATTTGAGTCTGACTGTTTTTTTAATTACGATGTAATGTGGTCAAGTCAGTTTGCTAACTACAACGTAGAACTTCTTATGCACGTACATCAGCGTTCAAAAAGAAATCGAATTGTCGATTCCAACAATCCAAAAGTAGTACAGGTAGTAGATGTATTAGCGGTAATAGAGAAGATTAGTGTTCAAAGATGATGATTCAAAAAGTATGATACCAGTGAGATAAATTTTAAAACAAATGAGAAAAAGATTATGAAGAATTCAAAAGAGGAGTTGCAACGTAGAACTTCGTACGCATGTACATAATTTCAGGTTGCCATACCACATTAACACAGAGACGCAAATGTCAAGTCAAATCAAATCCCATAGTGATAAAGATAGTAGAGGTATTAATGGTAATGAAGAAGACTAGCGTTCGAAGATATTATTCAAGAAGTGTAATTCAGTGAGATAAGGTTAGAAAGACAAAGGTAGAGGTGCTGGCTAATCCAGAAGATTAGGATTTGAGAGAACACAACGAATAAATGCACTTGCGCCATTGCAAACGATTCTGAGCAATGTCGTTCAAGGTCTCTAACCATTGTTGACTTTCGTCTCGCGGACCCCAACCAGGTAGTCTACATCTATCAACATGACTCAGTCCACTTGTCAGTGACTTCATGGATTTCTGCCATGTTTTGGTCTGACCACCCCTAACTTTCTTCCCACCTACTCCCACACCACAAAACATAGCTCGTCGAGGCAGTCGGTGGTTAGGAATACGTAACACATATCCCAACCACCTCAACGAATGAAGTTTCACCACTTCATCTACTGATCTGCCATTCTTACCTAGCACCCGATTCCTAACGACAGTATTGCTTACTCGGTTGTCCCACGATATACAAGCAGTGCTTCTAAGACATCTATGATCGAATACTAGTAACCTACGAACATCTTCTACTCTTAACAGCCATGATTAGCATCCATATAGGAGAACGGAACGAACTGCTGTGCAGTACACCCGTCCTTTAGTTAGCAAACGGATATCTCGCCTACGCCATAAGTGACGCAGGTTGGCAAAAGCCAATCGAGCTTTCTGTATCCGCGCTGAGATTTCGTCAGTCACCAGGCTATCAGCGCTGATCAGACTCCCCAGATAAGTGAAGTGATAAACACTCTCGACTACTTTACTCCCTATCACTAGTTCAGGTGCCGATGCAACCCAGTCTTGAAGCAACATTTTACATTTCGAGGGTGAGAACCGCATCTCGAACATGCTTGCATTGTTGCTTATGGTAGTCAGAAGACTCTGCTTTTCATAGTCTGAGTCAACTCTATTCAATGTTTTCTCGTTAATATATATAGTTCAACTGAGAATTGTCGTGGACGCGCATTGCCAATGATAAGTCCCATATACCAGGCAGGACCAAACGACATTCCACCAGTCCTTCCAAATCCTCAAATGATGGTCTAACAATGATCGATTGATTGATGGCTTCAATGTGTTAATAGATAAACCTTTGATTGATTGATTGATTGAATTAAAAACTTTTCAAAGCATTAATAACAATTATACTCAATGATCACATCTCATTTACTGATAATACATGCCTTCTACTTACTTCCATATCCGGTTTTTTCAATAATCTATAACCAGAATAAACATGTTCCCATTTCACCAATTGTAACATACTAGCTAAATTCACTACTGTATCTTCAGCTCCTTCTGGTTCAGTATATAAAAAATTTGCTGTTTTCACCATTTGATATTCTGGTATATACGTGTTGAATGTATGTTTATGATGATGACAATGATGTTTTGCTGCATGAATGCCGTCGTTGTCGCCGTCTTCACCTTCAATGTCATTGTTATTGTTGTTGTTGTTGTTGTTGGTATGACCATCGACTACACTGCCGTTTATCGCAGAGATCGATTTGGATGTCAACGCTGAATGCAGTAGAATTTTGATATAATCAAACAATATACCACACACCTAAAATGAAAACCAAATAAAATCAATCAATCAATCGACCGGTCGATCGATAAATCGATAAACTAAATGGTTGATTAATGCTTGCAATAGACTTGAACATTAATAACATTTGTAACAGAGTAAAAAATCACTATTGCAGGACAATCAAACATAAATGGTTTGGAAGTCGAAGAACAAGCCTTGTAGGCACTGAACTTACAGGATGGATGACTTTAATAAACAAGCGATTCGTTTCTGTACTTAGCCTGTGTATTTTAATTTTCAAGTAAAAGTTCCATGGCTACCACCACTTCGTGTTCTTTTTTGGTGTGAAGTACTTAGTTAAAATCTTGTGTATTGTGGTTTTAGATCTTCTCCGCCTGTCTCAGATGTCTGTCAACTTACACATTTTCAGGCAGAGTTTGGGAGGTTTTGTGTTTTTTTAACACTTTTGAAATCATCAATTAATCATTGTTAGATCACCAGCATTAGAAACCTGGAAACACTGAAACACGGCCGTTTCGTCCTAGTGTATGGGACTACTCATGAGTGGCAGTGCGCATCCACAACTCCTGCACCTCGCACAGGATTCGAACCCGGGACCTTCGGTATTGTGTGCGAACGCCTAACCATCGGCATCCAACGGTTTGTTTGTTGTTCTGTAAGCGAGTAAGATTTTGTGTACAACAACTAACTTGCATTATTTTGCATTTTTTGTGGTGAATGAAATTTAACTACGCTGTTATCCTGCTTTAAAAGCAGAACATATGCATTAGTTATTAGTATTTCGTTATGCGCATGGTTAAAGCATTAGTCGTATATGTTCAGACTACGGAGTAAATAATGATCAAGTTAGACACGGTGTATGACGTATAGAGATAGAAAACAGATTGATGAATTTGTGAATTTTCATCGAATAATGTGATTGGAAAGTATATTATGTAAGACTAACTAACTGCTGTCTATAGCTCATAGACTTATTTCAAGTGAAGACCGGTGTCAGGCAAGAGTGTGTTTACTCTCACCCTTCCTCTTTCTCCTGGTGATCGACTCGATTATGAAGGTATCAACATGTAAGGGAAAGCATGGAATACAGTAGACAGCTCAGATGTGACTAAACGACTTGGACTTTGCAAATGATCTGGCTGTTCTATCGCCCAAACAACAACAATTACAGGAGAAGACGACCAGTGTGGCGGCAGCCTCTACAGTAGTGTATATCAATATGTACAAAGGGAAAAAGCAAGATCCTACAAAACAACACAACATTGACTAACTAAATCACACTTGATGGAGAAGTGTTCGAGGATGTGAAAACTTTTACACATCTGGGCAACATTATTGATAAACAAGCTGAATTTGATGCAAACGAAAAGATACAGATTAGCGAAGCAAGTGCTGCATTTCTAAAATTGGAGAACATTTGGAACTCAAAATAACCAACATCAAAGTCAGAATTTTCAATACAAATGTCCAGAAAGTTCTACTATATGGTACAGATACTTGGAGAACTACAAAAGCCATCATCCACAAGAAACAAGTGTTTGTTTATTAACAGTTGTGTACACAAAATACTTCGGATTCGTTGACCAGAAGACACTATCAGCAACAACCTACTGTATGAGAGAATAAACCAGATTCCAGCCGAGAAAGAAATTAGGAAACAGCACTGAAGGTGGATAAGACACACATTGAGGAAGGCACCCAACTGAGTCACAAGGTAATTCCTAACTTGGAATCCTCAAAACCAAAGGGAAAAAGAGGAAGGCCAAGCAACACATTACACCAAGAAATAGAGACAGACATAAAGAGAATGAACGGCAATCGAATTGAACTGGAAAGGAAGGCTCAGAACAGAAAAGTTGGAGTGCTATGCTCCACTGAAGGGAACAGGCATAAGTAAGTAATTGCTGTCTACTGATCAAAAGTTAGACATTAACAACAATGTTGTATGCCAACTCAGCGATCTAGAGGTTAGGCGTTTCCACACCCAAGAGCGAAGGTCCTTCGTTCCAATCCAGAGAGTAGCAAGAGTGCGATCTAGAGGTGAAGTATTCCCGCGCAATATCGAAGGTCCTGGGTTCGAATCGTGAGGATAGCAGGAGTCGCAGATGAACTCTACTGATGAATCTCATATACCAAGATGAAACAGCCATCTTTAGGGTTCGTCACTAGGTACGCTTGAAGCTATTACGAGTTCACCTTAATCGATAAAACGCGAACGAGACAATGAACCAGAGTCCAGATAGGCTACCTTGAATCCCAAGCTGAAGATAGAAGACTTTGTAAGCGTAGAAAGTATGTTTCTACAAACACCCAGCAATCACACAATACAATCAAGTACACAACTCTCGTTTATTTATACATCATAGAAACTTCCTTGGGACAGTTACGAAAATAGCACACTAAAATACACAGCATCCAATCACACAACCAAGGATTTTCCTGATGGGAAATGAAATCTCAAGGTCAACTGATCAACCCACGCTCGCAAACGTGAAATCCAAAATAAGGCATTTATGAAGCAAGTTTGGCGATTTAACATTCCCAAAACCATCGTTCAATACTTCCATATTTCTCTAATGGTGATGATAGTCTAACATTCATGAGATTTCAATGAAACTGTCATTAGAGGAATAAAAATTTATCGAAAAATAAAAATACAAAGCATAATAATAAACTTACACGAAATATATGATCACGACCATAATCAGTAAGTTGAATATTCACCATAAAAATTGCACATAAACTAGAATTATCAAAATCTGATGAACAATTCACTCCTGCACCAAGTGAAACAGCAAGATTTCTAGGTAAAAGCAATAACAATTACAACAACAGATCATGTAATCAGTCAGCAAGAACATAGAACTTGGATATGTACTTATATTGTAATGAACGAGAACACAGGTGGGGCAACCGGATTGTATTTAACGAAAATTACAGAGTTACTCAGTAAAATTGGAAAACCATATCGCGTAAACCGTTAATTTGCAAAATAACAGTTCATCCAATCGAACTGGACTGTTCCTGTTGCAAAACATCAATCCATTGTCACTGTTCATGCGTTTCATACACAAATTCCATTGTGTTCCCACTCTTCTTCATTTCTTGATCTTCCCCCATCTTCTGCTGCCAGACATTACGTTGACTGACACTCACGTCATATACTACTTATAAGTAGCTCGCACCACAATATCAGTTCAAGTTTCTATACCTGGGTGTTTTGGCTGTGAAGCTTTCATAGCTGTTCTTCTGTTGAACAACATCATCATCATCAGTCCAAACTTTAGGTAGTAGAAGTGAAGAGTAACTGAATTTCTTCACGTATGAGACTCGTAACTTGTTCGGTTGACCTCGTTCTTGATTGGTTGTTATTGACCTTGAAAACCTATCGTTGTCTGCACATTTATTTCGATTGTATTCGTCCCCTTTGAGTACTACTTCATTTCGTCTACTTGAAGTTTGTGCTGACGATGATGTTGTTCAACAGAAGAACAGCAATGAAAGCTCCACAACCGAAATACCCAGCTCAGAGAATAAAAAAACACCACCACAATCATCTTCTACCTGAGCTAAAAATTTTCTCCACCATCTCAAGTAGCCATACTTAATTAGCACAGAGAGAGGTGATACAATTGTCACTTCAAATCATACAGTGGTAGAGGTAGTAAAAGCATTAGCTGTAATGGAAAAGATTAGGATACAAAAAGATGAGGAATTCAGAAGGTTAGAATTTGAAAGAACACAAAGAATGAATGCACCTGCACCACTGCAAACGATTTTGAGCCATCTCTTTCAAGGTCTCTAACCATCGGTGACTACATACATCTACCAACATGACTCAGTGCCCTTGACAGTGACTTCATGGAGTTGTATCATGTTTTGGTTTGACCCCCCCCCCTAGATTTCTTCCAACCTACTCCTACATCACAAAACATAGCTAGGTCCAGGTGGTCAGTGGTTAAGCATACGTAACACAGTAGTACGACTTCGCCCTCAGACCTTGAGTAGCTGCTTTTAGTCTCATCGTTCTCCAATCGACCTGTCTGGCGTGGTATAACCTTCAAAAACACATATGTTCCAGCCAATATAGCTCAGTTGGGTCATCACGATAGACAAGCCCGACCACCACGTGAAGGTAGCAGTTACGGTTGGGCAATTACATGGATATACACATATATATCAATGCAATCATTCAAGCAAAGGATCCGTGCGTGTTAATCGAGACGAATCAAAATAGAAGTTCTTCATAACAACAATAACTAAGACAACTCCAATCCTTAACATATACAGGCTCGAATCCTATTTAATTATTCTTCTTCATAATTGGACAACTTTCTGCAATAATCATCAAAACTGAGTTTTTGTAAATATGAACTATGGAATAATAAATCAGGGTATGTTTTGCCTGCACGTAAACACATCAACTTGATATACTTGAACTATTACGAGTTTACCTAGTCGGGAAAACGAGAGCGAGGATCCGGTGACACGACATGCTACTCAAATCCGATTATCCCAACCCCCATATTTAGTAAAAATAATAAGACTTGATATGGAGTAAAACATGTATTCTACAAGTATTCAGAAAGTACGAGGTTCGAGTCCAGAAGAGAATCAGGATCCCAGACTAGAGATCCGGGACCAAGCCCTGGTCCTGGTCGTGGTCATAAAATGTTACAGATAATGCGAATTTATACATTCTGGTCGAATAAGGAACAGCATCGAATTCTGTGGCATTGACAGTTAAGACGACCAATAGGAAGTAACATTTGAAGTTACATTGATAGTCAGAACAACCAATAAGAAAGAACATTTGAAATGACATTGACAGTCCGGATGACCAATAAGAGACAACATTGAAGTATCCTAACAGGGTATTTACTGTTTAAATGTATTATTTACTGCGTTAGACACCTAGCAGAGTTGTATGTGTGTGTCAACTATATCGTGCAACCCATGCTAGAGTAAAAGTTATATCCATTATACCTTTGTTTTCAATGGTTTAAATTTTTTACAAACTTTGCAAATACAATACATACTAATCATTATTATAAACCTGACTGAATTACGCTAGTAAGTATAGACTACCTGCTAAGAGTCCACGAGAGACAATCTTAAGCGAAATGATTAGATACTTTGATTGACATGGCTCAAAATTGTTTGCAATGGCGCAGATGCATCCATTCGTTGTCTTTCTCTCAAATTCTCTAATCTTCTGAATTCCTCATCACCTTCATCTTTCTCTTTCTAGATTTATTTTATTAGGATATACTTTTCAAATTATGTCAACGATAGCTTTAGCCTGGCCTTGGATGGAGTCTACCACCCATTAACCCTCTATTATCAAGGGCAATTTTACATTAGTTTTCAGAAGAACCAAGGAGACTGATCACGTGTTAGCATTTCGACAAGAACAGTTTCGCCCAATCCCGTGGTGCTACCACACAGGTACCTGATACCCTGGTGGATCATTCACACCATTTATATATACACTAGTATATAAATATAGTGATTATTTCCGATATATGATTGCGTCAATCAATATGCACCACATGAACAGGCCAATTTGACCCATTTCGCTTACATGACTGTCAAACTTATTATTGATTAGCAATGGTGATATCTAATACAGTACCCCAATGACAATGGCCCTCGGGAATGTTGCAAAACAACCACCACTAGTATCAATGAAATCGATCGCCTTGCTAACCAATGTTGTATATGGACTGTTAGCAATACTTGCCAAAGCAATGCCAAGACATCCACAATGTTCATCTCAGCGAAACTCTGGTCTCATAGCACATGGTATACACATAGTATCGCATAGGATAGCATGAGATGCAACCCAGCTCGATGCAAATGGGGGCTCAAACACTCTTATATTACACTTTGACTCAATGTCGGGTAATGTGATTTTTTCACAATACCGAAATTTTCATTTTTTCCCGACCATATTGAGACCTGAGTTAGTAGGGGGTAATATCCCTTACACATCTATGATCCCTAATCTTTTCCAGTACCGACAATACTGTTACTGCCGTTCCGCCCCCCCCCCCCAAATACTATGAGATTTCAAATTCACAATCTCCTCATCACTCACTCTGTGTCAATTTAGGATAACAAATTGAACTGATTCATGTACGTACGAAGCTTTACAGTGTAGCTGACTGACTGGCTTAAAACACTTTTTACTTATTTTACATTCTATCAAATAAAAGTTTGTAAGTGAATTTCTCATTATTCATCAATCTATTCACACATCTCAAATGAAAACATGTAACCCTGATAATAACGTGAGGAATGCAAGATACAATTCAATACACATATACGGCATGACATAGTTCTCTGATTATCCGCACCAGTGGTACACAACACACCAAAAAGTAAAGAAAATTATTTTAGACAAATAAACCAACAAACAGACATACACACACACATGCCCTCTCGTATAATAAATTCAAATAAGAGTTTTTTTTGAGGTATTTGCCAATGTCATCGGCTTTTTGACATGATTCGGTGTATGATTTTTTTAGAACATAGATAAGACACTAATGACATATAATATACTTGTCATATTGATCAACAATTATGTTGTTGATTTATTGAAAAGATGACTGATATGCTTGTTAATTGATATGCTTAAATGATGCTATTACAAGTTTACATTACTCGGTAAACGAGAACGAAGAGAAACGATCCAATGACGTGATAGGCTATTCTAATCCGTTATCCCTGACCAGGCTAACCATATCAAGAAGTCTTGATAAGGCGTAGAAAGTGTATTCTACGGAGGGCGGCTGCAAAATAGCCTACTAAAATAATCCATAAACCAATGACAGTCAAGGATTTTCCGGGTAGGAAATGTAGTCTCAAGGTCAACTGAGCAGCTCATACGCTAAAACATGAAATCCAAAATTTAGGACCTTTTCCAAGTGAGTTCTGGGGATATAACGTCCCCAACAGAGAGGAAGCAATACAACCATTTGATATGAATGCCTCATTTTGTATCATGTGAAAACCGCTGAATATGATGACAGTTTATGTGTGGATACTACTCTGCAAGGATGGAACACCTAGACTGAGTTCATTCAGTAAATAATAAATACTGATAGGGAAGAGAACCCGGTGGTTTAGTTGTGATCACTGTTCGACTATCACAGTCAGTAAGTCTAGGCTCTAGACCATCCCCTCAACTTCCGTTAGGGCAACCAATGTAGTGTATGACTGGCTTTCACATTTAGAGTGTGACTCAAAGCTAAGTACAAAAATCTGTGTACCCGGTGAGTTGTGAACAAACAATAAATTTTTAGCAAGTACATAGTAATGTACATGGCTTTGAGTCATAATGCGCCCCTTCTCCGCTTATATGACGATTATAATCGTATTATGTAGCTATTGTCAAATCGAAGTTCAAGCCTATAGCCTACAAGCTAATACACTGATGGGAGACCCAAACAATGCGATTATGAATCGTTTATTTTGTAATTTTGAACCAATTATTGTTAGACTACCATTGAAAACCTGGGGGAACTAAACGGCGTTTCGTCCTAGTATGGGACTCATCAGTAGCAGTGCGCATCCACAACTCTCGCTCATCAGAATCGAACCAAGGACATTCGTTCATGCACGCGAACGCTTAACCTGTAGAGCGCCGAGCCGGCATCCAACAAATTTAATGTTTAACTGTGATCAATCCACGGTCTTGCGCAAACTCATTTACTGTCTTCGGAGAGCACTAAATCAATTGAAGTTCGGCCTCCGTCCGGTGGTCTAGAGGTTACACGTTCGCGCGCAAAACCGAAGGTTACGGGTTCGATTTCGGCGAGTAGCAGGAGTCTTGGATGCGTACTGTCACTGATGAATCTCATACCAGGAAGAAAACATCCGTCTACTGCTTCCAAGTTTCTAATGGTGGTCTAACAGTGAATAATAATAGTAGTAACAATATACTAATACTTACTCTTTTTTAAGTAAAGCCAATATACTTCCTCTACCTTCATGACCAATGAGAGAAGATATTACTTCCATTGGAGATGATCTATAATTATATATAAGAATGTAGAAAAATGTATGCTTTAATACAAGATAATACAATCAATCAATAACTGTGTGGTTTATGTTTTGTGTGAGAATGTTTATGGAAATGAACCCTGGTGAAAATCTGAAGTTAAGAAAAAAGTTAACTGGGGAAAAAAACGTGTTAGAAATAAAACAAAGGTAATGAACGTTTTAACAATTAGTTAACAGTGGAACGCATATATGTCTATGCATGTGCGTGTGTGTGTGTGTGTGTGTGTGAAGAACTCATTGAATTAAATCGCCAAGGTATGTATGACCAATGTTGACGAGAGTTCCTACCTCTATCTCTAAATACATACCTATTGCTTATAGCTTTGAATAACTCAGCCCGGAGCTTCTCCGAAGCAACTGCCAGTCCAAAGCCTGGATAAAGGAGAGTTGGGGATGCAGTTGGCGATCTCGTCCCGTAGAGAACAAACTCGCTAAACAAAAACTCTAACCAGAAAAAATAATTAATGATCTTTGCGTCTCATAGACTGTTTTACAAGGAAGTTCAGTTCACTGCGTATAATAAAACGGAAGTGTTTTTTTTCTAGAAAAAGTAAGGCAATTCAGTAGGGGTGGTGGATACAGAGCTTACATAACCAGAACAGTTGATAAACATTGATTCTAAACAACTAACGCTAGACAGAGGCTCCGAGGTACTAAGCAGACAAGTGATGTACAAACCTCATCTGACTAATGCATAATACTATGAGATCTCAGCACCCAAAATTGAACCAACTTATGAATTAAGCTTTCAAGTTGAAGGTTGAGTAAATAAATCCTAAAGGAAAAAATTACGCCAATTTCCTTAAGCTTTCAGATAATCTATCAACTCCTTCAACTCATGTAATGCTGATCAACAATGACGAAAATAAGTATATCATTGCGTTCACATCAATCACTTTACTATGATGCATGCATTTATGAACGTGTACATCCCTGTTAACGGTTGGGATATGTATTACGAATGCCTAACCACCGACTGCCTCGACGAGCTATGTTTTGTGGTGTAGGAGTAGGTTGGAAGAAAGCTAGAGGCGGTCAGACTAAAAACAACATTACAATTTGATCAGCAACATTAGATATACATCAGGTTATTCCGGGTCAATTATACATAGAGTTAGAAGAATATTAAATAACAAACAAAAAAATACGTAGTTGCAAAATCACTCAGCCCATTGGTCATTGACTTAGATTTGAGCCATGTTTTAGTTTGGCCGCTTCTAGCTCTCTTCCAACCCACTGCTACTTCGAATATCATCGCTCTTTGAGGTAGTCGGTGGTTAGGCATACGTAACACATGTCCCAAACACCTCAACTGATGGGGTTTCACTACTTCATCTATTGATTTGCCATCCCTACCTAGTGCTTGTTTCCTAACAACAGCATTGCTTACTCGGCTGTCCCACGATACACGAGCAATGCTTCGAAGACATCTATAATCGAATACTAATAACCTACCAATATTCTCAACTCTTACATATATCTAAAGTAAATCAATACAACTCTTAACAACTCAGTAGACAAGTTCATACACTTCTCTTTAAGTAATAACAATCATAATAATAATCGTACTAGAAGCTGTAGCTGTCTAAAGCTAGAATTCACAGATTGAAGTAATGCTGGAGTGAGATTACAGAACTGAGGATCAACTAACACCAACCCTTACTTACTTACTTACTTACTTACGCCTGTTACCCCCAATAGAGGAGCATGGGCCGCCCACCAGTTTTCTCCAACCAACTCTGTCCTGGGCTTCCCTCTCCAGTCCTGTCCAATGTTTGTTCATTCCTCTCATATCTTTCTCTATTTCTCAGCATGTAATGTGTTCCTTGGCCTTCCTCTTTTCCTTTGACCTAGAGGGTTTCATGTGAGTGCTTGTCTTGTGACGCAGTTAGGTGCTTCCCTCAATGTGTGTCCTATCCACTTCCACCTCTTTTTCCTGATTTCCTCCTCCACTTGGATCTGGTTTGTTCTCTCCCACAGTTCGTTGTTGCTGATCGTGTCTGGCCAACGAATTCGAAGTATTTTGCGTAGACAACTGTTAATAAACACTTGTATCTTCTGGATGAAGGGCTTTGGTAGTTCTCCAAGTTTCCGCTCCAAACAGTAGAACTGTCTTCACATTTGTATTGAAAATCCTGATTTTGGTTTTGGTTGAAAGTTGTTTGGAGTTCCAGATATTTTTCAACTGTAGAAATGCAGCCCTTGCTTTGCCAATCCGTGCCCTCACATCTGCATCGGATCCAACATTCTCGTCGATGATGCTGCCAAGATATGTTAAGGTGTTAACGTCCTTCAAGGCATCTCCATCAAGAGTGATTTGTTTGGTGCATGTTGTGTTGCATCGGAGAATTTGGCTTTTTCCTTTATGTATGTTGAGACCTACTGCTGCTGCAGAGGCTGCTGCTACACTGGTCGTCTTCTCTTGCGTTTATTGTTGCGTGTGCGATAGATGAGCCAGGTCATCTGCGAAGTCCAGATCGTCCAGCTGCGTCCTAACTGTCCAGTTGATACCGTGCTTCCCTCCAGATTTCGACGTCTTCATAATCCAGGCGATGACCAGGAGAAAGAGAAAGGGTGAGAGTAAGCAACCTTGCCTGACAGCGGTCTTTACCTCGAAAGAGTCTGTTAGCTGTCCTCGGTGTACGATTTTGCAGTTGAATCCATCATAAGAATTCTGTATGATGTTAACTATTTTCTCTGGCACACCATAGTGTCGAAGAAGCCTCCACAGTGTTTTCTTATCCACTCTATCGAATGCTTTCTCATAGTCATGAAGTTGATGTAGAGTGGTGAGTTCCATTCAATTGATTGTTCCACAATGATCCATAATGTAGCAATTTGGTCAGTACACGATCGATCCTTACGAAATCCGGCCTGTCGATCTCGAAGTTGGGCGTCTACGAAGTCCTTCATTCTGTCTAACAATACCCTGTTGAAGACTTTGCCTGGTATTGAAAGAAGAGTGATGCCTCTGTAGTTTTCACACTTGTTGAGATCGCCTTTGTTTGGTATTTTGATCAGGTATCCTTCTTTCCAATGTTTGATGGTACTTGTTCCTCATCCCAAATCTTCTTGAAGAGGATGTGAAATATTTTCGCAGTTGCTTCTACATCTGCTTTCATTGCCTCTGCTGGAATGTTGTCTGGTCCTGCTGCTTTGCCGTTCTTGATTTGTCTGATGGCCATACTGATCTCCTCAATCGTAGGTGCGTCAATATTAATTGGGAGATCCGTGGATGCTGCTTCGATGTTGGGTGGTTTCAGTGGAGCTGGTCGATTCAGGAGTTCCTGAAAGTGTTCTACCCACCTATTTAGCTGTTCTTCAGTGTTGCTGATTACTTTGCCTTCCTTACTTTTCACTGGGCGTTCTGGTTTACGATAGTTTCCGGCCAGCTTCTTTGTTGTTTCATACAATTATTTCATGTTTCCTTCTTTTACAGCCTTTTCCGCCATCATTGCTAGATCTTCCACATATTTTCTTTTGTCAGTTCTGATGCTCTTCTTCATTTCCCTGTTTGCTTCTGTGTATGCACAGCTTGTGCCTTAACTTTCTCTGCTCTTGTTCGGCTGACATTGATTACTCCCTTCTTATTCCTCCTTTCTTCAATTTTTGCAAGAGTATCAACAGACATCCATTCCTTATGATGGTACTTCCTGCGATCCAGAACTTCGTGACATGTTGAAGTGATTGCCTCTTTAATCAACAACGAATCCACACATTCTTAGCAATAATCACAATCATTCAATTCTTCTAATCTACGCAAGCATAACAAAAACAGCTAGCCAACCTGTAAAACTCATCATTATCATCATCACAACTAATATGACTTACTCATAATTGTCAATTTGTGGTGGAAGTATCCATACAATACGTAATTTCTCTTTGACACTCAAAGGACATACTATTGACGAAAAATTAAAAAAAACAGCAATAAAAAAAATCAATAAAGAGTAATGATAATAATAATAATGATAATAAATATAAAAATGTGCAGAGAAGAAAAGCTCAATGGAACAATATTTCTTCAGTTTACATACTTACTTACGCCTGTTACCCCCCCCCCCAATAGAGGAGCATAGGCCGCCGACCAGCATTCTCCAACCTACTCTGTCCTGAACTCCTATTTTCAGCTTTTCCCAATTTTTGTTCATTCTTCTCACGTCTGTCTCCATTTCTCGGCTTAATGTGTTCCTTGGCCATCCTCTTTACCAATTGCCGAGAGAATTCCAAGTGAGGACTTGTCTTGTGAGGCAATTAGGTGCTTTTCTCAAAGTGTGTCCAATCCACTTCCACCGCTTCTTCCAGATTTCTTCCTCTACCGATATCTAGTTTTTTCTATCCCAACAGTAGGTTGTTGCTTATAATGTCCGCCCAACGGATCTGAAGTATTTTGCGAAGACAACTGTTAATAAACACACCTGTATCTTGTGGATGATGGCTTTGGTAGTTCTCCAAGTTTCCGCTCCATACAGTAGAACTGTCTTGACATTTGTATTGAAAATTCTGACTTTGGTGCTGAATGAAAAACAGTTGTTTTAAGTTTCAGATGTCCTTCAGTTGTAGAAATGCTACCCTTGCTTTGCCGATTATATACACAATAAATAGTGATTCTCCCCCTTTTAAACAACACTAAATCAATTTTAGATGTTTAACTGGGTATTCACCATATATTATTGATCTTAGTCAAAGTATCCCGTCAAAAGACTACTAGACAGTAGGTGTATGGTTGTACTAGTGTGGTGGTGGATACTACTTGCAATGTGGTTTCTAAGTAGTATAGCAACGGAATGAGTGTGCAGTAAAAGTTACCAGCAAAGAGAAGAATGTCGTATCGGAATACATAGCGTGATGAATGAGTTTTGAAGATCAAAAGACAAATAAAAAGAGACAGTCACTAAACTGGCTGATTTACAAATCGAAATCTAAAGATCAGATGTACGTACATATTTCGTTAGTAAAAATTTGTGTCTTCTCTAAAATACAGAATACTATTCCATTTCATTACACTAATATGTCACTCCTTAACAATGCATACCCATGAACCTATTTGTGTGTCAAGCTCTAAAGCCTTGGGTTCGGTCTGTGCGAGCAGCGAGAGTCATGTATGCGCTCTGCCACTGACTGATGAGGTGTCCCATTACCAGGACGAAATGGCCGGTTTTCAATGCTTCTAGGTAACCTTCTAATAGTGATGGTCTGATGCCTGATTTCAATGTGTGTGTGTGTGTGTGTAAAAACAACACGCCTTACATAATACTGTAAATGATAGTGACTCACCTTTATATAATTTAGCAAATGATTGAATATCAAACGGATCAGGACAATGAAAATTTGGCATAGGTAATCCACTAACAAAATGAAATGACAATAAGAATAAGAATAAAGACGGATTAGTTCAAGTCTCACATTATGTAAAACAATGGTAAAGAAGAGCATACATGTTGTTGTTGTTGATGTGTGTGTGTGTGTGTTTGAGAATTAGACAAAGACTATCCTGTTTGGTCAAGTAACTCTCAATGTAGGAGGTAGAAGTTGTTGGGGATGTTAGATCCCCAGAACTCGCTTGATAAATAAATGTCTTATCTAGGGATTTCATGTTTGCAAACATGGGTTGATCAGTTGAACTAGAGATTTCATTTCCCACCAGCAGAATCCATGACTGTGATTGGCTGCTGTGTTATTTTAGTGTGCTATTTTCGTAACTGTTCCAAGGACGATTCTACGATGATGTATAAATAAACGAGAGTTGTATGCTTGATTGTATTGTGTGATTGTTGACTGTGTTTGTAGAATATACTTTTTTCTACGCTTACCAAAACTTCTGTTTTGTAGTTTTGGGATTTAAGGTAGCCTATCTGGACGCTGGTTCATTGTCTCATTCGCGTTAATCGACTAAAGTGAACTCGTAATAGTTTCAAGCATACCTAGTGACGAACGCGACAGAAGTATACAGTGAAGTATTGTATATTCGATGGTTCCACAATGTCAAAGGTGTGAACATTATGAAATGGATCCATAGTTAGATAATTATTGAGAATCAGCAAATTGAGAAAACAGTATGTGGCCATGACCTCAACTCAGGAATTATTACCTCTTGAAAATAATTATCATTATAGTACAAGGACGAACTAGTTGACTAATGCTTGCTGGTCTTCATTGGTTATCTCTAACTAAAGGTCAATTTATGGTACAAACAATGCAACTCTATAATTTCAACAAATCCCTTAAAATGTATTTGTTTGAATGATAATAGATGAAGTAGTGAAATTTCATCAGTTGAGGTGGTTGGAACATGTGTTACGACTGCCTAACCACTGACTGCCTCGACGAGCTATGTTTTGTCGTGTAAGAGTAGGTTGGAAGAAAGGTAGGGGTGGCCAAACTAAAACATGGCACAAATCCATGAAGTCACTGACAAGTGAACTGAGTCATGTTGATAGATGTAGACTACCTGGTTGGGGTCCGCGAGACCAATGTCATCGATGGTCGAGACCTTGAACGACATGGCTCAGAATCGTTTGTAATGGTGAGGGTGCATCCACTCTTTGTTTTCTCTCAAATTCTAATCTTCTGAATTCCTCATCACCTCTAATTTTCCCTTTCTAAATTTATCTCACTGAATTATACTTCTTGAATAATTTCTTCGAACCCTAATCTTTCCCATTACCGCTAATACTTCTACTATCTCTACCACTGTAGGATTTGAATTAACAATTGCATCTGTGTGTGTTAATGTAGTATGGCAGCCTAAACTTATGTATGTACGTACGTATGAAGTTCTACGTTGTAACTGACTGACTGACTGATAATAATGGTAATAATAATAATAGAGGCCATATATATATATATATATATATATATATATATATATATATATATTTCTCAGACAACTTACATTTTTGGTATATCCGTGAAAATTTTTCGTACTAACACTTCCAAATCATCTAACTGATCTGAAAAGTAAAAAATTTTTATTGTCAAGACAAATAAAAAATTTAATCAAATCTGAGCTTGTAGTGTTGTTAGGATGTTAGGATATTCATTCAATATCGTAAGAGAATTATAGGTCAATTTCTATTGGTTAATTTCTACTGGTTAATTTTATGATCGTCCTAGATATCAATGTCACAGACTCCAAATGTTGATTCCTATTCGATTAAATTGTATAAATACGCATAATGTGTAACGTTTTATGACCACGAACCGGTCCCGGATCCCTAGTCCGGGATCCTGATTCTCTTCTGGACTCGGACCTCGTACTTTCTGGATGCTTGTAGAATACATGTTTTACATCATATCAAGTCTTCTCATTTTTTTACTCAATATAGGGGTTGGGATAATCGGATTTGAGTAGCATGTCTTGTCACCGGATCCTCTATCGTCACTCTCATTTTTACGACTAAGATAAACTCGTAATAGTTCAAGCATATCAACATGACGTGTTTACGTGCAGACGTAATAACAGTTTACTAATAAGCTTTTTGGATAAAAAAAAGTTTATTTCTATCGAAAGGAAGAATAGAGTGTCGTAAACAGTGAGTAAACTTGTACGACTACTATTACTACTACTACTGTGGTGCGCGCTACTTATAAGTAGTATATGACGCGAGTGTAAATGTAATGTCTGGCAGCAGAAAATGGGGGAAGATCAAGAAAGGAAGAAGAGTGGGAACACAATGGAATTTGTATGAAATGCATGAACAGTGAAATGTCAGACAATGGATTGATGTTTTTGCAACAGGAACAGTCCAGTTCGATATGATGGATTGATATTTTGCAAATTAACCGTTTACGATATGGTTTTTCTATTTTACCAATGAACTCTGTAATTTGCGATAAATACAATTCGGTTGCCCTCACCTGTGTTCTCATTCACTACACTACTACTACTACTAATACTACTAATACTACTGTAGTGAACGAGAACACAGGTGGGGCAACCGAATTGTATTTACCCGAAAATTACAGAGTTACTCAGTAAAATTGGAAAACCATATCGTAAATTGTTCATTTGCAAAATAACAGTTCATCATATCGAACTGGACTGTTGCTGTTGCAAAACATCAATCCATTGTCACTATTCATGCGTTTCATACACAAATTCCATTATGTTCCCACTCTTCCTTTGTTGATCTTCCCCCATCTTCTACTGCCAGACATTACGTTGACGCTCACGTCATATACTACTTATAAGTAGCTCGCACCACAGCACCACACTACTACTTCTAGCTAGGTGTTAATTTCAATCGACTCTATAGACAAAACAGTACACATTTATGCATTAAAAATATTTTTCTTTCACTTGTCAACAAATATAAATAAAAATTACAAAATATCATCGTCAAAAATAGTTTTAAATTTTCCAGTGTAAATATTTGTTATAGTAGTAGTGTTTTATGTTTTTCGGGGTATTTCTCAGTGATCATTTTAGTGTTTTACTAACCAGGGTGTGTGTGTGTGTTGATCGATGAATGAATTAATCAGTTAATTATTACTTGAGAATTCAAAATCAATAAAATTTAACAGTAGTGAAAAAACTACCAGAAATTTTTTTTCACAATCTATTATGTCATCATGATGATCAAAAATGAAAAATTCAATTTATCTTCTTGATATTTATTTTGTGTTCATCAAGGTGGATGGAATTTTATAAAATGACTAAAAAAAGTTTGATTGATTATTGCGCATACATGCCGAAACTGTTGTGTTCTCTGTCTGTGTGTGTGTGTGTGATAAGAGGTAAGTAGGTAGAGAGAGGTATTATTAGTGGTAATGAAGAAGATTAGGGGGTTTGAAAATATTTCAGATAACAAACAAACAAAGATGAAGCTGATGAGGAATACTGATGAAGATTAGGGAAATTTGAGAGAAGACAGAAAATGGATGCACGCACCTGTGCCATAGCAAACGATTTTGAGCCATGTCGTTAACCAGTGGTTATAATTGTCTCGCGTACCCCATCCAAGTAGTCTACACTTACCAGCATGACTCAGTCCACATGTAAGTGACTTCATGGATTTGTGCCATGTTTTGGTCTAACCGCACCCAACTTTATTCCAACCTACTCCTACACCACAAAACATAGCTCGTCGAGGCAGTCGGCAGTTGGACATACGTAACACATGTCCCAACCAATTTAACTAATAAACATTCACTCCTTCGCCAACTGATCTGCCATCCTTACCTAATACCCTTATCGTAACCCCAGCATTGCTTACTCGGTTGTTCCAGGATAAACGAGTAATGCTTCGGAGACACCTATGATCGAATACTAGTAACCTGCGAATATCTTCTACTCTAACTGGCCATTAAGTAGGACAGAGCGAACTGTTGCACAGTAGACTCGTCTTTTGGTTAGCAGTCGGATATCTCGCCTACGCCATAAGTGACGCAAGTTGGCAAAAGTCAGTCAGTGAATTAGTGTTGTACAAGTGTTGAGTAATTCACACAAGATTATAGTAATGTTGACTGAGGCTTTTTGCATAACATTTACAAGAAAAGTGCATGTATTTTATGAATATTGTTGCTGCATAAAAGTTCTTCGACCTTCCTATTTTCCTTTCACCTTGAGAGTTCCAAGTGACGACTTGTCTTGTGACGCAGTAATAGGTGCTTTTCGTAGTGTGTGTCCTATCCACTTCCACCGTTTCTTCCTGACTTCCTCTTCCACTGGAATCTGATTTGTTCTCTCCCACAGTACGATGTTGCTGATAGTGTCTGCCCAACTGATCGGACGTATCTTGCGTGTAGACAATTGGTAATGAATACTTGTATCTTCTGGATGATGGCTTTCGTAGTTCGCCAAGTTTCCGCTTCATGCAGCAGAACTGTCTTGACATTTGCATTGAAAACTCTGATTTTGGTTTCGGTTGTAAGTTGTTTGGAGTTCCAGATATTTGTAAACTGCAGAAATGCAGCCCTCGCTTTGCCAATCCACGCCCTCACATCTGCATCGGATCCAGCTTGATTGTCGATGATGCTGCCCAGATATGTAAAGGTGTTAACGTCCTCCACGGCATCTCCATCAAGAGTGATTTAGTTGGTGCATATTGTGTTGCACCGGAGAATTTCGCTTTTTCCTTTATGTATGTTGAGACCTATTGCTGCAGAGGTTGCTACCACACTAGTCGTCTTCTCTTACATTTGTTGTTGCGCATGTGCGATAGAGAAGAGAGCCAGATCATCTGCGAAGTCAGTGTGTGTGTGTGTGTTGGGATTGGACAATATTTTAAACTCATTTACATCATTATTAGAGATGTCAACTCAATGGTCTGTCTACCAATTAAGCCACTCAACATTATTCGCTGATTTATTACAACTTGTAATTCAATTACAGTCGTCCAATAACCCGAATATTATATATCATGCATAATGACAAAAGTATTCATTAGCGTATTAACTAACTAACTAACTAACTCATTGACGAAATTATTGATTGATTTACTCAGATTTAAAAATTATAATCGTGATATAATCAATATAACTAACTACTACTACTATCACATGTCTCCTTGAACTGAATGAACTGTGAGGTGGGGTGATAAGGCTTCTAAATCTATAACTACAATTTATTGTATATTTGGAAATATGTTTAAACCATTATATTATTTATTCTTCTGTAGATGATTTTATTTTAAGACAAATACATCAACGCTAAGAGATAATATCACAACGATGTATGTGGTTTTTCAACGCGTACAGTAAAATGATGAGCGAAACTAGTAACACTTTGTTGGGGGGGGGGACGTTAGATCCGCAGAACTCACTTGATAAATGTCTTAATTTTGGATTTTATTCATGGGATGATCAGTTGATCTTGCTTGAGATTACATTTCCCATCCGGGAAAATCCTTGACTGTTGATGGATTGTTTTAGTACGGTATTTTTGTGGCTCTCACCAAGGACGTTTCCATGGTGTATAGATAAATAAACTCGATTTGTATGCTTAAAAACCTCATATTTTCTGAGTGATTGTAGAATACACTTTCTATGTCTTGTCAAAACTTCTACCTCTACTTAGTGGAGCGTTGGGATGCTCAGATTAGAGTAGCCTATCATGTCACTGGATCATTTGTTTTCACTCCCGTTTAGCGACTAAGGTGAACTCGTAATAGTTTCTCAAGCATATCAATTGACGAGCATATCACACTGTCTTTAAAGAAAAAACATCGATTCTGATAGCTTGAATTTTAATCTGCATAGCTTTCATACTGTAAACTATCTGCTAATGTTTTAACTGAATGAAAAAAGTAAATGTTTTTGTTAGCTTATGACATAGAGTTGTGATGTGAAAAATACTTCTGACACAGAAATGGAATATGACACAGTTCATAAAGACTTCTTGATTGGGATCCTAGAAGAGATCATACAACAAACTACTCAATGGAGTTATTGATTTCCAAGAAAACTAGCTTTTCTGTTTATCACTACAAATATACCCCAAAAAATACGGGGATATATCAAAAAAAAACATAAACTGAACCAATTGGTTAGATCAACTCAATCTAATTCAACTTTCCAAGTCATATATGCACTTTTAAAACATAAAAAAGACTTACGTTTTGACTGTACAGCAAGTGTCATTCGATCAGCAGAATAAAAATTTTTTCGATGTTCATTTAAAAGTGAATAAATATCTGTACCATTTTGTTCTGGGATTTCACGTAATGATTTACAATTTCCTACAGATTCATTTATTCATCCATTCATTCATAGGAGGACAATGTAGAGAGAGAGAAATAGAGAAAAGAAATAATATTAAAAATAATCTATACACAGTCAATCAGTCAGTCAGGTACAACATAGAACTTCGTACATAAGTACATCAGTTCAGGTTTCAATACTACATTAGCACAGAGACCCAACTGTCAGTTCAAATCCAATCGTGGTAGAGATAGTAGAATATTATTAGCAGTAATCGAGAAGATTAGGGTTCGAAGAATTGATTCAAGAAGTAAAATTCAGTGAGGTAAACTTAAAAAGAGTAGGATAAAGGTGATGAGGAGTTAAGAAGGTTACAATTAAAAAGCAGACAAAGACTGGATGCACCTGCGCTATTGCAAACGATTTTGAGCCATGTCGTTCAAGATCTCTAACCATTGGTGACTTTCGTCTCGCGGACCTTAACCAGATAGCCTACATCTATCAACATGACTCAATCCACTTATCAGTAACTTCATGGATTTCTGCCATGTTTTGGTTTGGCCGCCCCTACCTTTCTTCCAATCTATTCCTACACCGCAAAACATAGCTCGTCACGGCAGTCGGTGGTTAGGAATGGAGAACACTAGGGTTCGAAGATATGATTCGAGAAGTATAATTCAGTGAGATAACATTAGAAAGAGTAAGATAGAGATGATGAGGAATTCAGAAGCTTAGAATTTCATAGAACACGAAGTGTGGGTGCACCTGCGCCATTGCAAACGATTTTGAGCCATGTCGTTCAAGATCTCTAACCATTGGTGACTTTCGTCTCGCGGACCCCAACCAGGTAGTCGATAACTGCCGACATTACTAAGTCCATTCGTCAATGATTTCATGGATTTCTGCCATGTTTTGGTTTGGCCGCTCCTAACATTCTTCTAACCTACTCCTACACTACAAAACAAAGCTTGTCGAGGCAGTCGGTGGTCAGGCTAATAAAAGATAAAATGAACTATATATACACATACCATAACCGAATAGTTGATAAGGACAACCTTTACGAGATAAATGACCAATTAAATAATGAAGTCTTGATGAATCCTTAGTATATGCCAATTCGAATTCTGTAAAAACCAACAATAAGAAAAAGAAAACTAGTTATAAAATTTTGAAGCTTGAAAAACTGTCCTTACTAATAAATTAAGTTTCTAAATTGTGACAACGGTAGACTGAGTGAGTATACAACACAACAAGTTTCACAGTCTCTACACAACGAAACGACTTTAGTAAGAGAACTAGTAGAAATCAAGGAATAGTAAGTAGACAGCTAGTTTTTTATGCTGTGTAGCTCCTCAGATTAAAAACCAGGGATCGAACTGAAAACCTTTACGTTGTGTAGTGTGAATGCGTAACCATAGAAACCACTGAACTGACATCTAATGATACAATTTTGATTAATTTGTAAGAGACAGACAAATATTGTCATCCGATACCTTTAGTGACGGTTATTTCGCTTCCGACATGTCTGAACTTCACTAATGCTCGATTGGTTCCTAACGGTATCCTACCTGAAATGAATCTGCCATTCATTAATAGAACTTACAAATTGAAGCAATCGCTACAAATCATTTTCAACCAAATAACTTCAAATACTTTAAACATGTCAATTTAATTTGAAACACCAGTACAAGGATAGGGAAGTAAGTGTTGATTTTAGAATTACATATAAATAAGTAATATGTTAGGATATTCATCCAATATCCTAAGAGAATTATTGGTCAAATCCTAATTGGCCGATTTCTATTGGTCAAAATTATGGTCGTTTTAACTGTCAAAGTCAAATACTTCAATGTTGTCCCCTATTGGTCATCCGGACTGTCAATGTCATTTCAAATGTTGCTTCCTATTGGTCGTCTTAACTGTCAATGCCACAGAATTCGATGCTGTTTCCTATTCAACCAAAATGTTTAAATACGCATTATCTGTAACCTTTTATGACCACGACCAGGACCAGGGCTCGGTCCCGGATCCCTAGTCCGGGATCCCGATTCTCTTCTGGATTCGGACCTCGTACTTTCAGGATGTTTGTAGAATACATATTCTACTTCATATCAAGTCTTCTTATTTTTACTCAATATGGGGGTTAGGATAATCGTATTTGAGTAGCATGTCGTGTCTCCGGATCCCCTATCCTCACTCTCGTTTTCTGACTAGATAAACCCGCAATAGTTCAAGTATATCAAGTTGACGTGTTTACGTGCAGGCGTAACATAAAATATACAAATTCACAAACAAATTACTCAAAATATGCATGATACATACCTACTATAAAGAATACACCACTTACCACTATTCACTGCATTAATCTCACGATCTATACTATCTTTACTTAATAGTGGTGAAATAAAAAAGTTGGCAAATTTATCAAGACAATTAGCAAAATGTTTACGTTTCACATCGAAATGAAATACAGTAGATTCATTGCCTGTCCATGCATTATTTGTTCCACCACGTTGACTAAGATACGCATCAAAATCATTTTCTGTTGGATATTTTACACTACCCATAAATACCACTACGAAGGAAGGAAATAAATCAATACGTAAAGATCAAAATTAAATCTTAAGTAAAATTCATTTTATCATACAAATTATTCTACGATTGACTGTTTACTATCGATCGATATGCGCTTTTTACCTGAATCAAAAGAAGAAAACACTATACCCTCTTGACATAACTGCTTCGGTTTAAGCATTCAGGGAAGCATCCTATTTGTACCGACGTTAAACAGGACGAGTGTACTGCGCAGTAGTTCGCTCCGTCTTACTCTATGGCAGTGAAACATGGCCAGTGAGAGTAGAAGATATTCCTAGGTTACTGGTTTTCGATCGTAGGTGTCTTCGAAGCATTGCTCGTGTATCCTGGGACAACCGAGTGAGCAACGCTGTTATTTGGAATCGGCTGCTCGGTAAGAATGGCAGATCAATAAATGAAGTGCTGAAACCTCATCAGTTGAGGTGGTTGGGCCATGTATTGCGTATGCCTAACCACCAAATGCCTCGACGAGCTATGTTTTGTAGTGTAGGAGTAGGTTAGAAGAAAGTTAGGGGCAGCCAAACCAAAACATGGCAGAAATCCATGAAGTCACTGACAAGTGGACTAAGTCATGTCGGTAATTGTCGACTACCACCTGGTTGGGGTCCGCGAGATGATAATAATCGATGGTTAGAGACCTTGAATGACATGGCTCAAAATCGTTCGCAATTGCGCCGGTGCATTCATTCTTTGAGTTCTCTCAAATGCTAATCTTCTGGATTCTTCAACACCTCTAGTTTCGACTCTCTAAACTTTTCTCACTGAATCATACTTCTTGAATACTATCTTCTAATCGTAACCTCTCCGATTACTTATAATACCTTTACTACCTCTTCTACTATTGGATTTGAATTGACAATTAAATCTCTGTGCTGATGTGGTATGGCAACATGAACTGATGTACTTACGAACGAAGTTCTGCGTTGCATCTGACTGACCGACGTTCAACTGTTTAAACAATAATCAATAAAAAAATACTCCTGATGGAGCCAACTAATCGAAGTGCTATCAGGTTCTTAACACTTTTGACCTACGAAAAGGAATATTATTCTCATTGAGCAATTTGTGTGGATCTTTTACCCATATCTTTTGTCAAATGAGGTAAGTGAAAATGTCAGAAAAATATGATAATCGCTTATGAATGTAAGATATCAATTAGACTACAATTCGGCACGTCATAAATAACGAAATTATTATTATTTTGTGAACAACTATAATATCAATTAACCTGATATACAAAAATAATAAGTACTGTAAATCAGTAAAAATAAAAAAAACTCAATTATACTTAATCTTTCAAAGGTTACAAGTGTAAATGAATTAACTGTACTCTACTAGCCTATTGTAATCTGAACCTACTAGTTTTTAAATTGACACTCCAGTAGTTTGAGTGATAGTAATTGAGAAATTGGGAAACAGATACTAACTACAAGTACACACTATGCATTGATGTACAAAAAATATCGACAACAGTACTACTTTAATGAGACTTACTATGTTCCAAAAAATGTGATAAACCCTGAGCTTCAACGGGATCTGAGAAACTTCCCACTCTAACGCATAAAGCAGCAGCAGACTGGAAAAAATTTGAAAAAAAAAAACATGTTACACAAACTAGGCTATAAATAACAGTGAGTACTTCCAACAATGGAATTAGAAAGCAATTGATCTGACTACTAATAAACAGCTTTTAGTATTATGTAACCAAGACAAGTATGACTATTATAAAGTTTATTCACTGTTAGTGAATAAACTTTTCTCACTGAATCACACATACTTCTTGAATAATATCTTCTAATCCTTACCTCTCCGATTACTTCCAATACTTTTACTACCTCTTCTACTATTGGATTTGAATTGGTGTGGTATGGCAACATGAACTGATGTACTTACGTACAAAGTAGTTCTTCGTTGCATCTGACTGACTGACTGACTGACTGGATTCTAACCTTCGGAATTCCTTATAATTTCTACTTTTCTCCTTCTAACCTTATCTCACTGAATTATACTTGTTGAATAATATCTTCAAACCCTAATCTTCTTCATTACCATTAATACCTATACTATCTTTATCACTATGGGATTTGATTTGACATTTGCGTCTCCATGCTAATGTGGTATGGCAACATGAACTGATGTACATACGTACGAAGTTCTACATTACAACTGATTGACTGACTGATTTACTAACAGTTTTTGTGAAGAAACTTGACTGGGTTGTCGTTACTTTAAAAATTAGAATGTCAGCCAGTTAATCAGCGACAATGTAGGGAAATTAGAATGAAAATATTATTTATCGAAGAAACAAGATCAAGTGCTCTACCTGGGACCTTTTTGAATATTTAAAGATCTATTCAAATAATAAACTAATTGAAATCATGAATGAATCATTGTAAAACTACTATTAGAAAGCCTGGAAGCAGTGAACGGTCATTTTGTCCTACATTGCGCACCCTGCTACTAGCAAGATGCGAATCAAGGACCTTTGGTCTTCCGTCCCATACCAAGGAGAATCGGCCGTCTAGTGCTTCAAGACTTTTAATGGTAGTCTTACAATGATTCATTCATACTACAATTCAAAATAAACTAATTACTTGTAGCTTCACAAGATTTTGCGGTGTGCAACACAGCAGACAGCACAAAGATGTCATAATACCTGGCTAAAATGATCGTTTTTTAATGTAACGGTGGAAAAAATAACAGGTCCCGAACGTTCGAGAATTAAGATATTTTAGGAGATTCAAAACCAGGCAAGTCCAAAAAATGACCAACTTTCATCAGTGAAATTCTTATCGTAAAAAAATATCACAACTGAATTAATCGGTGATTGAATCAATGTTTATTTCAAACGGACGCTGGTCACAAGTTAGTACTTTAAAAATGTTAGAGTTATTCGTAGTTTCGAAATAACAAATCAGGATACTGTTAAGAATAATTTGAAAATATATGATTAGGGATAATCAGGGATCATCTGCAGCGACGTAACAGACTTTGATTACTGATTGAAATGTAAGGCTTGATATGATACGACTTACTCCCTGTGTTAAAGCAGCCGACATTCTAGCTGCGAAACCAGAAACTATTGGACTCTCGGAGATATCGCAACCATGAAGTTTCATCTACGATAGTACGAGGCGAAAAAAACTTATTAAAAATGAAATGTAGTGCAAAGAACTGCATTTTCGGTACATTAAGTTAAGAGCGGTTAAAAACACCAAGAGGTAGGTTTTTACACTGAGTCGACAATTGTTCAAGAGAGGATTATACACTTTTAGGAGCTTACAAGAAAAGGACTAACAAGGACCAAAAGCATTCTGTCCTTAACACACATCCGAAAATCTGAATTTAAAGACGTGATCGTCATCATACTCACAAAGAAAAATATAAATAAATCCTACCTTCGCCTCTTGATCGCTTGGAGTGTTTGCATCAATATCATAATCTTCGTCTTCGAAACTTTCTGAAGCACTACTTTCAAGATCTGAACCCGACAAAGATTCGTCAGGCGCTTCTTCGCCAGGCTTTAGGTTGGATACTAATATAGCCCTCAGGCCATTATTCAATTCAATATATCTTTGTCAGCTGTGAACAAAAATTATTTGACTTACCTGTAACTGCGGTAATCTATCCGACTTTTCTCCAACCCGTCAAAACCGTCACAGATCATAATCAGCGCTCTACAGTGCTAACTAATAGAAGCGCCGTTAGGTTCTTAACACTTTTGACCTACAAAAAGGAACATTTAATTCAGTACTGTGGGTGGATCTTTTACATTAGCATTTTGTCAGATGAGGTATATGAAGATGTCGGAAGTATGAACATCTACCGTTAAATGAAAGCAACAAATTTAGAAATGCATCACAGTAAAAAAAGGCATCAAATCTCGCTTTGAATGTATCAACAAAATCTACCGATACTATGTATTCCGGGAGTACACTGATAGTTGGCCAACTGATGAAAGAAATATAGCTGCGGACGGGGATGATTTGATTTGATTTTTAAGTCTTGATCTACGAATCGTCGTTCAGTATAGAATATTCCAGTATGTGCACACCATGTTACCTGCTGCGAGATAAAGGAAATAGGTTGGGGTACAACTCGTTTCCAAAAAACAACGACTCAGAAACCTATCAAAAGCAACTTTTCTTCACCTTTTCACTGAAACAAGTTTACCCAAAGCCCGCATCTTCTTCTCCTTCTTGATTCTACCTTTTAATAACATATCAAGTCTTACCGGGATATCAGTATTTAATTGATTCCGCGTACAAGATCATAAAAGATATCTTTATACTTTTGAAGATATCACGCATATTCCAAGTTGCATTACGCTGTTGTTGTGACAGCTGTTCGTACTGACAATGGATTGTCGTGCCTCACACCGATTAAAGAGGACAGTTTGACCGAAGGGTTCCAGAAATGTTAGAAGTATTTCCTTGACATTCTGTGCCTAGTCTACACTTGCCCTCAGTGGAGTGGGTTTACATTTCGCCACATTCTGACTCTAAAAGAGACGGCATAGTTTGGATTGTGTGCGATATTTATCCAGCTATCCGTTATCAACGAGTACTCACAGTAAGCTACCCTCCGGTACTTGAACATTACAAAATTTTGTTAGTTTTGTCGAACGACCGTTTCCCTGATTTATAAAGTTTAGGGGGGTGTGTGGTGTGGTCGTTTATCTTTTTAAGCTCACCCTTTGCTCTGTAAAGTTAAAATATACTGGATTGTTTAAAACAACCAGTGATTTCGTCGGTATATTAGCTAAGATTGAGGCTATATTTGCAGCCTGTTTGATTGATCTCTTGTTGGGCAAGTCAAATATACTGGTGTGAATAGTTAGGCTGATTTATACTGAGACCTTTCGGGTTGGTGTTGGTGAGGGTAAGTGTAGACTAGGCACAGAATGTCAAGGAAATACTTCTAACATTTCTGGAACCCTTCGGACTCTTATTGCTAATCTGACTTCGCTAGCTTTCATGGTAGGTGTGGTAGAATATGGTACTTTTATCTAGGTTGCAAAGTGGCATGCCTCCTTCGAACTGCTGTTGTTTGAGGAAAAATTTTATTTTTTATTTATTATAAACAGTGTTTTTATTTATTCAGCTGGGTTTGTGAGAACAGTAGAAGTCGAAATCAAAAGTAGCCTACTCATGAAAGACATGAGAAAGTTATACAGACTGTAGAATTCGAATGAGTGATATATCTGTGACTTGTATAACTCTACGGGATAATTTTACTCATTTAATCTTATGGGGTGCAACAATACATTTTAAATTATATCGGAGCTCCATTTAAATATACAGTCATTTAGATGCTAGTGGATTTCCATTTAATACTCTGCATAATTTAAAGTTTCATGTTAATTGCAATAGCCGCAGTTTATGTAACAGCAGGACTCAATATACACAGTGGGGAAAAAAGATACAGTACAAAATGCACCACCCAAATCACACTTCATGGAGAAGCTTTCTAAGACGTGGAAACCCGTACATCTCATAGTCTGAAATAGTTTCCCTGAAGGTTGGGTACTTGAGGAAGTTCAGTAAAGGTCAGTGAAGGTTGGAAAAATCAATCAACGCGGTATGGCTTGGCTGTGCAGTATTGATCACTCCCTATAACCTTTTTGTTTTGACATTAAATATATTATTTCAGATGTTTGAAGTCTTGAAGCTATCTGCTACTACTTTTGATTTTCAGGGTCAACGAATCAGAGGTTCTGGTGATGACTAGTTGTTATTTGTTACTATTCTTAGTAAATTTAAGCTTTACTTGCATGTTTGCTGAGTCTCAGCTTATCACCTTGCTTGTTCTTACCTTTCACAACTTTCCCTGTTCACGTTATTCGGCATACTCTGTTCTGGCTTGACGTAAACCGCTGCAATTACTTCAGTCCTTGTTTAAATGAGTTCTTTAGATGTGCTAAAAGTAGTATATCACTAACTGTCATGAAATAAGTCAGTGTAGACGGTGACGTAATTCGGACGTGAGATCTTACACACAAGGTAGTCACATCATGAAGATTCAACCATTGCGATATAGGTCCATGATTTTGGTGGAATTGATAAATGCACTATCAAGGGCTTGGACCTAAGTTTTAGTAGCTCTTACCGATCGCCAATCCCTAAGATACAAAGTGCATAGTAGGTAGAGGTTAAGCAGTATAATTAGAAGCGTGTGTGCAATCTCAGCCCGTAATCACAAAGCCGTGGCAGTAAAAAACAATCGAAGGACAGGATCATTATGCTTGGGGTCAATCTACTAAACCCTGAATTGTTACACGGCAACCGACTGAGTGAACTTCTGTGCCGTTCGAAGCTCGTAATAAGTTCTTCCACACCACCAACAGCTGACAATCTAGTGGAAGTGGTCCTCAGTATGACCACTCTGAAGTTAGTTCATTTCGCTGCAAGATGTCTACTAACTGCTAATCTAGATGGTATTTAACTCAGAACAAGCGAATATTAGCTCAGAATAACTATCACTATTAACCAACTTAATGATGCCTTCAATCTAATATCCCAAATGTTGCATAGATTGATCACCTTAATTGGGTTTTCTAATATAAATGATCTAATTTCAAAGTCCTGTAGTGGAACACTTCCACGAAAAAAAACGCAATCGGTGAACAGGAAACATTTATAATTGTACTCCTCATATTTAACTGTACTGAAAGCACTTACGCGCAAATTTCCGTTTTTGCATTGCTGCCATAACTAGTTAAACGCTGCTCCCTATGTCGCCCACTTTCTCCCTCAAATGTATTATTTACCCTGGATTTACTTTGTTGTTAGTTATTTTATGAATAATTGTAGTTATGCCATAACTGACTAATCAGATTGGTCTAAGCGCTCACCAAGTTATTTAGTCTGACCGGTCTGTAAACCTTATTTGTTGTAAATCACCTATTGATTGAAGGACGTTATTATTGTATTATATTGATGTGACTCATGTTTTTATTCATATTCTAAAGACACGCTATACTGGTCGGTACGTTTGCTCGTCTTACTTGATAATTGTAATTTCCTTATTTATCGTAATAATTTGGTTTTTCTTTTTGCTTTAGAAATAGATAAAGTTTAAAACCAAGTTGTCTTTTACTAACTATGGCTTTAACATAGAGTCTGTGCTCGCTAGTATTGCGTTTACCGTTCTAGAATTACATCTGTAGGACAAATTAAATCCTACATTTTTATCAGCCGTGACGGTCGCCACTAACCTCTCATTAGTCTATACTCTAAACTGTTCTCGCATAAACTTAAGGTTCTTCTAATTCCTCAGAACCTTCGATGAATGTATAGCGAATTGTAAATAAGCACCACGAAATAACCAAGTTAAGTCCCTTGCCAACCAGGAGTCAAAAGACTTGTTGTGATTAGATGTAGAGGTATGTTGGCTGATGATCTCATGATATCAAAAAAATATCAAGATCTCAACAAACGGTGTGGGCGAGACTAGCGAGGTAATTTGAGCAATGTCCAAGTCACGTGATACAGAAGAGAATGTGTTTTGGTACAGATAAACAAAGGAGTACAGTGAAACAATCACCCGCACCGCTGGTTACAATAATAAATGTGTATATTAAATCAATCATGTTCTCTTCATAAAAGCGGAGTCACTAAAAACGGGCGAAATCTTGCCTACTGAATAATATAGTGGACACAAGTGAAGTTTCACGTAGTACAACCATAGCTACACAATCAAATAATGCAATTTCGACCATATTCCACGGCTGAACTTTTATGCCCCTCACTACTTTTCATTCACCAGTAGCAGTTCGTTGAAAATCTCCCCAGTTAGTGTTCATTCAGAATGGATGATCAAGTGGTTTGAAGTAATTATGATTCTACATTCATCACAAGACAGAACTTTTCTTTTTTATGGTCTTCTTGACCCATCGTGTTTTCACTAGTCTAAATTCTGTGCGACTGAGTACCCATAGAATGACTTCTCATCCAAAGACTTATCTGAAACAGTCTTTGAACGCTTAGCTATCTGACAATACCAAAATGTGTATGGTCTGTTAGAAAAATGGCTGAAGGCTAAGCCATGGACATTGATCAGAAGTGGTAGTGATAGTGTAAACATATATTTCAGTGAGAGATACTCTCCTTCATAATATAAACCGACCGCATTTGTGTATTCATTTGGAAACTTGTAATTCAGAGTCAGTAAGTTCCGACTCCTGAACATCTGTCTACTACTCATCGTTTGATTGGTTTCACGGTCTGTGTAATGGCAGTCTGGCTGGGTTTTTTTTCTATTACAAGAAATTTGGTAGATATCATAAACAGATTCTAAGTTTGAGGTGGCAGTGATTAACTATTTTCAAATAATTTTTACAGCGACAAAACTAATCGTTCATTGGATTCATAAGACTCCATGTATAGTGAAGAATTTAGTCAAGTTGTGCTTCAAACAATTGTTGGATCTGAATTCACAGAAATGACCAATCCAACTTCTTGCATAACTTTCAATGTTCAGCAAACTCAGTACGATATGGATTGGCTGGATAACAGCCTTCAACTGAAGAGAGAGGGAACTAGAATACTGATGCGAAAAACAATGAGAGCAACTCTGAACTCTATTTCTCATACTATCTTCGTATGGCTAAGTTGTATCAAGTTGGTTTAGCAGTCTAGATGTGGACAAATCAGCCGATGTCGTTTAGTAATCGTCCACATTAACCAAAGGCTTTGGAAAGAAAAAAAA